GGCTGTTTTATTTTATTGTGCACCATGATGTACTTGCGTGAACTTAATGCCTGAGAGAGATCTCCGGCCGGTCGTTCAACCCTCCCGCTAGACTCACTCCCCTCTGACCGCCCTCCCCCTCCCCCCCCCTCCTCCCCCAGACCCGATCGCAGCCGCGGACGTGCACCGAGTGCGGTAAGGAGTGTAACAGCCGCGCCGCGCTGGCCTACCACACGGAGGCGGTACACGGCACGCCCGGACGACTGTTCATGTGCAACCTCTGCGGGAAGGGGTTCCGCAACCAGCACCTGCTCAGCAGACACGGCGTGGTGCACATCACGGAGAGGTGAGAGACACGTGATAGATACTGTCCCATAAACGGGCAGGATGTGTCGTGCTTAGGTACGTCTTCAATGTCAAAATGAATGATCGGGTATGATATAATGCGGCGATAGAATATGCAAAGTTACTCGTTTGTGGGGTATTTTTGAATGCGTTTGCTTGTAATTGTTGTACTTGCTAGGCGTCGTCCATGACCCATAATTATGCAGACCGTGTGGTTGGTTGATGATGTTTTCCGCTTATTTACTCACACGATTCAGCTAAGGCAACGCCAGCCTCTTGTACGGCATAAACAAAGCCGTTTTTGGCTCCCGATCTCCATTTCCCCACCTCACCACTGACGCCCCCCCCCCCCCCCCGTCCGCCATCAGGAACTTCAAGTGCTCCGAGTGTCCGTCGTCGTTCAAGACCAAGGGTCACCTGACGAACCACATGGTGCGCCACACGGGCGAGAAGAAGCACGCCTGTCCTCTCTGCCCGCAGCGGTTCGGCCACAAATCGTTGCTGACGTTCCACATCCGATGGCACAAAGGTGGGGGACGGGTCGGTGGTAACGGGTCGGTGGTATCTGACTAGAGGGGCGCTGGTTGACGGTGTTCCGTCCTGTTCGCTTGGCTCGTGGGCACAAATTTTATCGCCGTATTTTGCCTGATACCGGTAAAAATGTGCTTATTGGTGCTGTTGTTCATGGCGAGGGATACACAGTTGATTTTCATTGCTAATGAGGATCAGGGGCTGTTTCTTTCCTTTCCGTTGTAGGTGCCTGGGCCTTGGTGGGTGTTACTTTGGCACCGCGATGTCTTTTCCGGACCATGACTCTGATCATGTCTTACGTATGGCTGCCCCCAGGTGAGAAGCCGCACGAGTGTTCGGTCTGTAAGAAGCGTTTCTCCCAGCGCAGTAATATGGTGGAGCACGAGCGGATCCACACGGGAGAGAAGCCGTTCCCGTGCACCGTCTGCTCCAGGGCCTTCGCCACCAACTGCCAGGTACGTGCGGGTCGGGACGCCCGTACCAGAAAGGCTTATCACGTTTTTTGCAATGTTATCGTATCCTTGATATTTAATAACCCATTTACATTCATTTATTAATTCATTCATTCATTTGTAATTTATTCGTCCAATCATTAGGCATTAATTCATTCGTCATTTAATTGTTTCATCCATTCATTCATTTCTTCATTCGTTCATTCATTCATTCATTCCTTCATTCATTCCTTCCTTCATTCATTCATTCATTCATTCATTTATTTATTCATTCATTAACATTTTAGCGCCACAGTCTAGCCATGAACGGGGCCATGATAAGACCGGTGATTATTTCATTACCCGTCACTCCCCGACCTACCATAACCCGTCACCGTTCCCCTCGCACAGCTGAGCGCCCACATGCGCTCGCACGGCGCCGGCCGCCCCCTGCTCTGCCGGCCCTGCGGTAAGACGTTCACCAGCCGGGACCGGTGGCGAGCGCACTGCCGGCTCCACGGCACCCAGCGGCCGCTGGCCTGTCCTACCTGCGGCAAACAGATGGACGACAAGTGGACTCTGATGAGACATATGCGCACGCACACAGGGAAAGGTGCGTACTTTCACGTCTCGATTCGCATCTGAACAAATACTGAAGGAGATGAATCAGATATATTTTCACATCCGCATCGTTTTGCGATTTTTAGGAATATTTAGCATTTGGTTTCTATTTTATCCCTCGGTGATGCTCTGCCAACTCTAACGTACTCCGACGTGTCCCCCAGCGTCCCCTGCCGACGCCGGGGCCAGCCTGGTGTGCGGCGTGTGCTCGTGGTCCTGTGAGGACGCCTCGGCGCTGCAGCGTCACCAGGAGGAAGAGCACACCGGCGGCGGCGACGGGCCAGAGCTGCTGACCACCGGACTCGCACAGGTGGGTTAGTCACGTACAAGATAATCAGCGATGACTCTTTGCATGAGTAATGTGTTTCGGGCCCATTTGTGCAATGATTTGCTAGTACGGCCTTGGTCAGGTCCGCTGGTGTCATCTCGGTTCGTCGGATTACCTAGTCCTAATACTTGGTCCAGTAGTGTCTGTTTGTTGAAGCCTGCTACGTGAACGCATTCCTTATGCATAGTGCTAGGCACACCAGCTGCTTATCTGTGCTTTGAGCATAATCATGATGTCTGGCTCGTTGTCTCAGTGCCTTTCCCCCAGGGGTCCGCTCTACACAGCTGTATCCGACCCCTTGTCACGTATGTCCCCCAGGACACCGGTCCGCTGTTACAGCTGGACGGCAAGCCGGCCGATTCTCAGGTGATCTACGTCACCTGTCAGAACCCCGCCGATCCGTCCACCGTACAGCTCATCGACGGCATCGCCACCGTGGTGAGTGAACTGACCGGGGGACGTCGTAGGGATTGGTACCGCGGGTGGGCGTTGGGCTGATCGGACCTAGCATAACATGGTGCTCAGAGTGGTTTTATCTTAGAGGGAGACTGTAACAGGTCCCGTCCAGCAGACTGTAACAGGTGACTGTGAAGCTAACTGTGACTGCATCTGTCGGTGGTGACCTCTAATGTTCCAGAACTGTGACTTTAGTTGTAATTGTCAGCAACTGAGATTTTTATGATTGGTTGTGTCTCGACAAGACGGTTCCCGTCCAGTACAGCTCTCGGCGGAGAGTGAGTTGCTCTCTGCTTCTGTGTCTGTCTGACGGACTATGACTGTCTTTCTACAGGGCGGCGCCCGTCCGGTACAACTCTCAGCAGACAGCGAGGTGCTACTGGAGGACGCAGCGGACGGTGTGGTCCAACTGGCGGCCAACAAGGGTCTGGTCACCGGCGAGGGAACGCGAACCCTGGAGCTGACAACGGAGGACGGGCGGAGAATTCAGGTGAGACAGTGACACTGACACTGACTGACACCGACTGACACTGACACTCTGACACTCTTGAGACTGGAGCTGACGACTAGAGACGGACATACAGGTGGAGAAGGATACGGATACTGACATTACCAACTGACACTGGCAATGGCACTGGTACCGACGCTGCCATGACTGCCACGTCACAGAAGACGGATGACTTATATTTACGGATTGGGAGAGACACGGGCACTGATGACATGTTAGAACGTCCACATCAGAAAACTTATCGATATTTGATTCGCAGATTAACGGCCCCGATCAGTGACCTGGCATGACCTAAGGTGACCTTAGCTGACCCGATGTTCCGTTCTCGTTGCGCAGATCACTCTACAGGACGTGAAGGGTGACCTGGAGCCGGCCGAGCTGGCCGTCAAGGGTGATCTGGAGCCAGCCGACCTGGCCGCCGCCGTGGCACCTTCAGAGGTCGGCGGTGACGGCCAGGGGGTCGAGTCGCTCCACGTCACTGCCGAGGATACACAGGAGGTGGGTACAGGAGGGATAACGGAACATCACAGGGGGGGGGGGGGGGGTCGGACCCCGTGCTCTAGAATCTAACCATGACAAAACGTTGGTCAGAATATCTCACGAACGGCCATGGTCACCGTTCACCGCCCCGAATCTGTTGATATGTGGCGTGCGAACGATTTTCTTTATAACGCAATGGCCTGTTTTATACCGGGCGATATAATGTGAACGGTAGGAATGAAATAGCTCATGTGTCACACCGTCAAGGCCTGGCTACACTATGCGTTTTCTGCGTACGTTTTTTGCGGATTTGCGGGTTTTGCGTAATATCGTTCTAGAATAAAAAACGTTATTACGTTTTGTGATGTTTTTTTATTGTAAATTTTCATTAACATAAGAGTTATATCAGATGGCCTTCTACGCTCGCTTTCTGTTCATTGTGTTCGATATATAAGCGACCCTCGTCAGTTTTGTCGGTATTTGTCTCTTCCTGCCCGTTCTAAATGTGATCGCAGGCTAGTCTAGCGGTGTTGCTTGCCCTCTCGTGTGGCAGCTGGGATGTTACCCCTCCCCGTCCGTCAGGTGGATGGGTCTGCGCTGACCGGCGAGTCGGTAGATGTACTGGTTACGGCGTCTGACGGCCGTCAGTTCCGGCTGGTGACGCCGGCCGGGTCGGACCCCGTCCAGCTGGCCACAGAGTACATCGCCGGACTCGAGTCGGCGCTCGACTGAGGTGGACTCCGGACTCGAGTCGGCGCTCGACTGAGGTGGACTCCGGACTCGAGTCGGCGCTCGACTGAGGTGGACTCCGGACTCGAGTCGGCGCTCGACTGAGCCGGTCGCCGGACAGTTACATTAGGGGAAAGGGAAGCGACGGATGAACACTTACCGGAGAGGCGTCAGAGAAGCGGTGACGTGATCTGTTTTCGAATGGTGGCTGACGACGTTTATATATCGAATGATCTCGAATTAATTGGACTTCTTGAGCCGTGTGTGGTTTGATGCTTACGCAGCGGTCGTAGTCTATCGCTCGTAATAACTGCGATTTGTGCTTTCATTGTGTTTTTGTCGTTATTGCTGGTGCTGTCCGTATATGCGAGGATATTGATTAATATATATTTTGTTTTGCATTTGTGATTTTCTTGTGCTTCTCAAACGGAACTGGGCCATTTAGTGGAGCGCACATTGGTTGTTTTGTGATCCTGTCAGGAGGCTGTCGTTTTGGAATGTGAATCGCTTTGCCAGCCGACACTATGACAAAATGTGTCGCCTTGTAGTTTGTACCGTTATGACCACTGGCCGAGTCTTCCGGGGACCAAGTGTCGGAAAGGGGCGGCGGTCAGAATGTGTCAACGTGCAGTCAAATTGCCCGTATTCAGCAGATAGGTAGGTATGAATTCAGAATTGCGAACATCGCCATCAGGCAACAGTCGAATACTTTCGACGAAAGTCTCAATGTTTCGAAGGACGAAGGTTTGATTCGGTACCAGGCCTCGGTGCTTTTCGGGCATTTCTTTAGGACAAGGATGAGTCAGTCTGGCAATCCCCAGTGATTCATGACCCGGCCGAATGTTCCGGACCATTCGGGGATCAAGGTCACTGCCCTTTGCAAGCAACCGTGAAAGCAGCATCAACATTGCACCGAGGAAATAAAAGGATCCTGTCCTATATACTACTGGGCTTCCTTTGGGAGAGAGCATTGCATTGATTGCAACAATGACGATGACCTGTGCCCGTTGCCATGGTATCCGTCAATCGCCGGAACGGGACCGGAACCGCAAACGTCTAGTGCGCATGCGCGGAAATCAAGCGGGCCGGTCGCCGGCCGCCCCGGCCGCCACACGCCGCGAGACGTCACGAGCGGAGGACCGGGAGCGTGAGAGGAGCGGTTGGTGTTTGATCTTGCCGGCATTTCCCACGTGGAATCGTCGGTAGTTGTGATTTTCAAGAGCTTAGTGTAAAGTGTTTCAAATCAACAGGTCGCATAATGGCGTCAGACACTGAAGACAAAGTTGTCGCCGGTAAGTTTCCGAGGTCCGGGTGCCGAATGAAATTTATGAATTAGCGTGTTTGTTATTGTTTTGATAACTAATTTATGTGTAATTATGACAATTGCTCGTCTTTGCTATGTTCATTGTTGATTTTGGGGTCCATTTTGAGCTGTTTAATGAATTATATGTACTGCGTATTGATCTAGAATACGCCCGGGGTCGTGTCACAAGCCAATTTCCACGCGCCGGGGTCGTCGCTTCAGCTCTGCCCGGCGCTGTGGTGACGTCATCACCCTTACGGCCGGCCGGCGCGCGCGAAGTGAAGTGGGGAGGGGCACTGGGCCGGGGACGGAGACAAAGAGGAAAACTGTGAAATGGAGAATATTCTCTATTTTCTACTTAAATGAGATGAATTTGCCCGATGCACTGATGCTTATAGGCTGCACTCAGTCTTCACTGACCTGGTGAAGTCTCCCTGCAATCTTGATCTGATCAACCAAAACCTCCATCCAGGCCCTGATGATGGGAGCTACATAGCCTTTTGGTTATCAGATAAACAACATTCCTGCACCAAACTCAAGGCCCTATATAGAAGGTATGCTCATTAGGCCGAAGCAGCGATTTCCGTGACGTCACTGGTACGAAGGGTCGGACGGCTGTAATGCAATCCTATGGAAAATGACCCAACTTTAGGGCTCTCCCACATAGCTGCCAACCTCGACACTAAGGTAAAAGTTATATCACATAAAAGCTCAAATCAAGACGAACAAGAAACCTATCTGACGTTTTTACGTATTACTAACGGCTTAGACTCTATTCAAGTATATTCAGAGCTCTGCATTACCTCACTTTTTTTGCCGTCAATGCCACTACAAATGTCTAGTCGGCGCACGTGCGCTTGTCGAACGGAGACCACCAGTCGGGCGATTCAGAGCTGCCGCCCAATCAGAACGCCGCAATGCCGTGACGTCATTGGTCGCACACGACACGTTACGGAGATAGGGATGAGACAGCCCTGCACCAAACTCAGTGAAAAACACTGACTTATGTGCCTATATGCAGTGCTCCTAAACCATACAATTAACTAAGCCATGTGCAGTTCCCCCTCCGCATAGGCGCCACACACAAGTACAATTTGTGACAAATTACACTGAATTACACCAAGACCATTGCAAACTCAAAACTAATGCAGTGCAAAAATATTGTCCCTTTCCAGCTAGTGTTGAATGGATAACTTTGTTTTCACAAAGTGCATATGATACTACTCAGATTAGCAAGGTGGTGTTTTTAGAAAAAGATGGCTGCTCAAACTCAGCAATCAGAGCTGCAGATGTCGGTTTGCTGACTGGAAGTTGTATTGTACTGTCTCTAGGTTGTTTGACTGTTGATTTACAGTAATGCCAGGCTGTTCATTTGCTGTTAAACCTGTCCCAATACAGTGACTGCCAGGCTGTTCATTCAATGCTACATCTGTCTTTACTTAATCTGTTGATTGCTGGCTTGTTCCTGTTGTGTCACCACCCTGCAGGCAGGTCATTCATTGATTTGGGATATTCCATTCATTAATATTTGTCATTCCATTCATCTACCTGCAGCTGTTTAATCCCATTGATCTATGGCTGTGATCCTGAAGGCCTGCAGCAGTCATGCTATCCTGCAGCTGCTGCCCTGTTGACTTGCAATTATAACTGACTTCCAGCTGCTAGCAGGTCAACCTGAAGCTGTTATCCTGCAGCTGCTATCCTGTTGACCTGAAGCTGTTAGCTTGCAGCTGTTATCCTGTAGACCTGAAGCTCTGCCGTCCAAAGGCAAAACCGCATATGTCGGGTCAGGTCATGACCCGACATATGCGTTTTTGCCTTTGGACGGCAGAGCTGTTATCATTCACCTGATATGTTATTCTGCACTGCTGGAGTATTGTTGGCCTGCATCTGCTATCCTGGTAATTTTGCATCCATTATCCTACAGCAGTTATCCTGTTTACCTGCAGCTGTTATCTTGCTGCCCTCAGTGGGCTGCACTTGTCCATACAGCAGCAGCACACACCACTACTTCAGTGTTCTGAGTATCAGCTAATGGTGTGCTCCTTTCAGCTGATGGGGAGACTCCTGAGGAGGAGGAGGACGAGGAGGAGAGGGCCGCCGACTCTGAGACACACCAGGTGAGATGGATATTCTGGATAGAGTTTCTGGGATGGGCACTCAGATACCTACAGTGGGATCAGACACTCAGATACCTACAGTGGGATCAGACACTCAGCCTGTAGGGTGAGCTGAAACACGTCTACAGGGAGCATGGGCTTAGACCTACAAGAAAGGGTGCATTGAATAAGAGATTACAGGGGAGGGTGGGCTGGTTGCCTTTGTCATGTTGTGACCCTTGGGAAGGCATTATTAGTTATTGCTAATTTAATGATGTTTTTGTGTGTTCTTGTGCTGCAGGAGGAGGATGAGGATAACTATGAGCCTGCTAGTAAGAAGCGAAAGAAGGGCAAGAAAAGGAAGGCCAGAGATGACAAGAAAAGTAAAAAGAAGAAGAAGAGGAGGAAGGCAGACAGTGAGGTATGTAAAAAGCTCCTGTATCAAATGTTTTCTGTCCACATCATTGTCCATTTTATGTAGTTTTGCCACAGGAGATTCTTGTGGCTTGTAGTGTCACTGGACAGCTGCATTGTAAATGCAGCTGGATGTTTAAATGCAGTGTGTTGCTTTTTATTGTGTCAGCCTGTTTTGTCTGTTCCCTCATTATCATCTTTTCCCACCTTCCTCAGGAGAGTGAGGACGAGGACAATGACTCGGAGGCGGCCGAGACGCCCCGGCCGCGCAAGGCCCGCGGTCCGACGGCCTCTGCCAAACCGCCGCGGGAGCAGGCGGCCGAGCCGAGCGGCATGCCCACATCGGAGGAGGTGAGTCCACCATCCTCTCGCCCGGACCGCGGCGGCCGCCGGTCAGGAACCCAGCACCGGGTGAAGACGGAAGTCGTGCTCGGTGTTCGGGTCGGAACACTAATTCCAGCTCGTCTTCGAGCGTTCAGTGTGATCCGTAGATTGAGCTTGTCTCTGTGACGCAGTGTTCCATTTTTCAGACTTTTTGGTGGCAAATCACACCTAATGGGGAAAACACTTTCATCCCTAAAATATGAATGACCGACTTTACTTCATCTCTGAAAAAAGTTTCATGTATTCCCCACAGCCAGTTTACATGTCACTTGACAGTTGATGCACCCACATCCTTTTGTTTCACACCCTGTCAAGATTCTGACATGAAATCCTGGTTTATCAGTTGGCATACAAATTGGCATTACACCATTTTGCAAATATACTTTGGTTATTTATTTCCTTTTTTCTCATCCTAGGATTTTTTCTTCTTCATCGGCACACCCAACCAAAGTCCAATTTTAGAACACTGCTGTGACGTCTGTGTCGGTCTTAATGTAGTCAGAGAAGCACAGCGTTTTCACCGACCGACCCTCCAGCGTCTGTATGTGTCGTAACACCCGCTCCGCTCCTCGGCAGGTGTGTGAGACGTTCGGCCTGGTGAACGTGGAGCTGGAGTACTCTGACGAGGACTACCAGACGCTCACCACGTACAAGGCCTACCAGCAGCACGTGCGGCCCCTCATCGCCAAGGAGAACCCCAGGGTCAGTCAGGACGACACTATCCCGACGCGTGCAGGGATGTTCATATTTTGCAGGAATGTTCATATTTGCGGGAGTTAGCTGAATGAATGAATCGATGATTGGTGTGAATGAGTGATGCAGTTTGCAGGAGTATATTTTTGTCACCGATGTCTAGCTATGCATTGACTATCTGTCAACTATCGCTATCACTATTTATCTATCTGTCTTACCGAACGAGGGCGTGCTATCAGTGGCAGGTTTATCCGCGTCTCCCCGCTGACCGCTTCTGCCCCCTCCCCCGCTGACCGCCGTTGCCTCTCCCCCCCCCCCCCCCGCTAACCGCAGTTGCCTCCCTCTCCCCACTGACCGCCGTTGCCTCTTCCTCCCCCCCGCTGACCGCCGTTGCCCCCCCCCCCCCCTCCCCCCCGCTGACCGCCGTTGCCCCCCCCCCCCCGCTGACCGCCGTTGCCTCCCTCTCAGGTGCTGACCGCTGATCTCCCTGCACTCCCGCCCTCGTCTGACGGCCGCTCTCTCCGCCAGGTGCCGATGTCGAAGCTGATGATGCTGGTAGCGGCCAAGTGGCGCGAGTTCACCGCCTCGCAGCCGGCCGAGGAGGCCGCCTCTCCTGCCGGATCGCCGCGCGAGCCCGACCAGGAGCAGGAGTCGGACGCCGCCGAGGAGCCCGAGGAACCAGAGGACGAGCCGGAGCCGGAGGTGCGCGCCTCGGCCCGCTCCAGCCGCGCCTCCAAGAAAAAACCCGAGCCGGTGAGTGACTTGTTGATTATCAACGCAGACTCCGCTTAATTTTCGGGACCGAGAATCGTTCGAAGCGTACCCTTGCCCGGCCTGAATGGGCTCCGTGCCCCGCCTCTGAATGGGCTCCGTCCTCGCCTCAGACTTTTGACCCGCGTCCCCTCCACAGGCCGACGATGACGAGTACGAGTTCGAGGACGACGAGGAGTCGTCCAAGAAGAAGCGCTCCCGCCGCTCCAAGGCTGGCGGATCGTCCAAGAAGGGACGCGTGCCCACGCTCAAAATTAAACTGGGCAAACGCAAGAAGGGCTCGTCGGTAAGCACAACGCCTCACTGAGTGATGTGTGGTAGTCGTCAGGGGTTTATCTCCAGTTTAGCCAGGGAACGATTCAAGGAAGAATCGTCTTCAGGGCATCATAGCTTATTTCGCCACTTCAATACTAGTTTGTCATGACTGATTCATCGCTCAGTCCCCATGTTGCGTCCTTATAATAATTTGTATTTGCCTGCGTCATTCTGTCTATACTGTGCTCTATTTCCATCCCAAGCTGTGTGACTGACGTTCCCCCACGCCGCCTTCAGGACGAGGACGAGGATTATGAGGCCGGCAAGGACTCGGACGCCGAGTTCGAGCAGATGCTGGCAGAGGCCGAGGAGGTCAGCAAGAATGACGACGACGCCGACCTGCCCAAACGCAAGGCCAAGACCAAGATCGGAAACAAGAAGAAGAAGAAGTCGAGGAAGCCGGGCCGGGACGAGGAGGGCTACGAGACCGACCACCAGGACTTCTGTGAGGTGAGGACGGAAGGTTGCGAACAACGCGAGATATCTGTTGGTGGGGGATAGGCGGTATTGAGCTTTCGCGAGCTTAGACAGGTAAATAGTTGAACTGCCTCTAGGTAAGCCGTAAGGAGTGGCTCTTGCTGGCTATGCGAGAAAGAGGTGGAGAGTCGCGACGTCATTCGTCCATCCTGTGAGCCAGAAGCTGTCCTTTGTGGTGTCTGACCCGCTCCGCCTCCCGGTGTTCACAGGTATGCCAGCAGGGCGGCGAGATCATCCTCTGCGACACGTGTCCCAAGGCGTACCACCTGGTGTGTCTGGAACCCGAGCTGGAGGAGCCGCCCGAGGGCAAGTGGATGTGTCCCACGTGTGAGAAGGACGGCCCTCCGGAGCGGCCGGCCAAACAGTCGGACGACGAGCACCAGGAGTTCTGCCGGTACGCACTGCGGGCGGGTCCCGGCGGGGTGGGACGGGGTCAACGGTGGAATGGTGCCCGTTCTGATATCATGTCTTCGGTTCGAGGTGAATTTTCCTCGCCGTGCGAACCTCAGTCGCCCAGAGATTTTTTTCAGATACATGCTGCGCTATATTATATGTATATTCATCAATTCAATGCCTCCCGTAGTAAAGAGCGTTTCATCGTTCCCTTTGTATTTTAACCACCCGTCGCTGACTAGCCTGTCCGTTTCGTCCGGTAGCAAATGTAAGGACGGCGGTGAGCTGCTGTGCTGCGATATGTGCGTGGCTGCCTACCACACACACTGCCTGAACCCGCCGCTGAAGGAGATACCCGACGGAGACTGGCGCTGCCCACGCTGCTCGGTAAGATGGGCTCTGTCTGTGGCTCCTCAGGTTCTGTTTCTGTGACCTCGGTCCGTCCGTCGGTCCCACGGTGATCGGTGGGTCGTCAGACACGGCGTCGAGGTGCTGTGCTCCGTCCTGTGGCCGTCTTCCCATATACCTGAGCATGATGTCTTTTCTTCCAGGGTCTTTTGTGCTGTCTGCCCCGGTATAATTGTCTTTGCTCTCATGGCTCCAATTCTGTCAGTCTTCTAAGAGGCCTTGGGTTGGTCAAATCACGTTTGTTTGTCCTCGTTCAATGAATTGTCTTTCCTACTCGCAATTTTTTTTTTTTTTAGAAAATATAGTCATTATGTAATCCTTCCTGTAATGTAAGTCGCCCTCTGGCTGTGTGCCCGTCTGTGACCCTCCCTCTCCCCGCTCCGCAGTGCGAGCCGCTGACGGGCAAGGTGCAGAAGATCCTCACCTGGCGCTGGAAGGAAGAACCCGCCGAGAAACCGGCAGAGGGAGAGGCCGCCGCCACATCGCCCAAGAAGAAGGCGCACCGCACGCGCGAGTACTTTGTCAAGTACCACGACAAGAGCTACTGGCATTGCGACTGGGTCTCGGAGCTGCAGGTGGGTTCCTGGGACTGACCGGTCGGGAGGTTAGGGCGACGCGCTGGCTGAGATACTGCGGAATTATCCTGGGACATTGTTCACGTCTGTGCTGTGTGTGTCAGTAGTCTGTGTTCCTGTCTCAGTGTTGGCTGAGCATGGTTTGAGACCAGTGATTTGTCAATATCCGTTCCGTTAATCTCGTCAATATCCGTCAAAAGCTTTTTTGCAGCAGAAAATCGAACCAGTTTTTTTATATTCGCTCAGGCTGCTATCGGCTCTTAGTGGTAATGTCTTGACGCCGCCGTCTCCGCCACCAGATGGACATTTACCACGCCAGCATGCTGCGGTTCTACATGCGCAAGTACGACATGGAGGAGCCGCCGACGTTTGACGACGGCGACCACACGGAGCACTACCGGATGAAGCACGTCAAGGACGACCCGCAGCACCTCGAGGAGAGGTTCTACAGGTGACTGTCTTACGAGAGGGAGAGTCTCTGTCTGCCGGGGGCGACAAATTTGGCAGAGCAGCTGCAGTCAGGGGGCTGTCGTAGAGATGCAGGGCAGTATCGAGACCGACAATGAATGAACAACACGATCCTGACTTGGGCATCATCACATGTAGTTTCCTCATCATGCTGCTGACTAATTAAGACATGAAGTTTCATGCCATTGTCACGTATGGCCATTCGGTGACCACTCTTGTCGCTATTTTCCTAAAACATTCTGTGGCCTCCGTACAGCCTCCCTGTCCGGCTGCGCCACCTGCTCTGACGGGATCTGACCCCGCCTCCCGGCGCAGGAACGGCGTCCGTCCCGACTGGCTCATCATCCACCGGGTGCTCAACTTCCGCACGATGCGCCACGGCGCCGTCCAGTACCTGGTCAAGTGGAAGGAGCTCGGCTACGAGTACGCCACGTGGGAGAGCGAGGACGCCGACATCAACGGACTGCAGGAAGAGATATCAGCGTATAACGTGAGTGGAGGACGGGCGCGGGGGCGCTGACGGGCCAGCGGTGTAACTAGTTATCTGTCGCTGTTACGGACATGTGTGCCCACGGTTTGTCCCACAACATTGACGGTATTATCGGTGTTAAAAAAGAGTTCAGGAGCCTAGATCTGGTTTGTCTTGCCCGATTGTGCCGTTGTTTGTGACACCTGACGCCGTGAGCCGCTCCCGATGTGACCGGTGTCCCCACCCCTCTGACAGGACCTGCGGGCGGTAATGGCCGGTGACAGCGGCACCAAGAAGGGCAAGAAGAAGGGCAAACGCAGCAAACACCGCGACGCAGAGGACGACGACGAAAACAGGAAGAGGTGAGACCGCGGAGACGATGACTTCAGTAAATTTACCGTGATTTCGGGAAGGGATTCAGATTCTGGTAGTATATTACCTGATTCAGATTAATTTTCTGGCATTATATTATCTGATTCAGATTCTGATATATTATCTGACAGGTAGTTCTTGGTACTTCTGACTGGCAAAGTCTACACCACAACTTGTGTTTGTTCAGGGAATGATATGCTTCCCCGAGTGGATCTCATCATGCTCTGTATGTGGAACGGGCTCAGGAACTTGGGGGAACCTCCCGCTGACTCCGTGCCTGTCCCTGCCACAGACGGTACAACCTGCCCCCGGAGCGTGTCCTGCGCGAGACCAACCGCAAGTGGGAGAAGCAGCCCGACTACCTGGACTGTACCAAGATGAAGCTGCACGACTACCAGATGGAGGGCCTCAACTGGCTGCGGTTCTCCTGGGGTAACGGCACCGACACCATCCTGGCCGACGAGATGGGTCTCGGCAAGACGATCCAGACGATCGTGTTTCTGTACTCGCTGTACCGCGAGGGCCACAGCAAGGGCCCGTTCCTGATCGCCGTGCCGCTCAGTACGCTGGTTAATTGGGAGCGCGAGTTCGAGACCTGGGCACCCGAGTTCTACGTGGTCACCTATGTGGGTGACAAGGATGCTCGAGCGATCATCCGTGAGCACGAGCTGAGTTTCGAGGAGGGTGCCATCCGTGGCGGCAAGGCGTCCCGACTGCGCACCAGTAACGTCAAGTTCCACGTGCTGCTGACGTCGTACGAGCTGATCTCGATCGACAGCGCGTGCCTGGGCAGCGTGGACTGGGAGGTGCTGGTGGTAGACGAGGCTCACCGGCTCAAAAACAACCAGTCCAAGGTGAGGGAGAAAAGGGGAGAGGACGTCTTGGTAAAGTAACTAGGTGACGCGAGCTTAGGTGACTCGCAGGGCACACCGATACTGTTATGTCGGTGGGGAGTGTTTCGGATCACTACGTGATACTGAGCCGGACTACGATGGCTCTGGCGACACAAGTGCATGGCTTCAATCCGCACGCCCTAAAGTTATGATTGTCTCGCAGCCAGACTGTGTATCATGTTTTGCTTCCAGTTGGATTGACGATTTTCCCCGTTTCTTCCGACAGTTCTTCAAGGTGCTGGCCGGCTACAAACTGGCCTACAAGCTGCTCCTGACGGGTACGCCGCTGCAGAACAATCTGGAGGAGTTGTTCCACTTGCTCAACTTCCTCTGTCCGGAGAAGTTCCAGGACCTGCAGGCCTTCCAGAACGAGTTCGCCGACATCGCCAAGGAGGAGCAGATCAAGAAGCTGCACGAGATGCTGGGCCCGCACATGCTGCGACGACTCAAGGCTGACGTGCTGAAGGTGAGGGATTGTGGTAGGTCAAGGAAAAGGTGGATGAGATGTGAGAGCACTCCTGGTGGTAGCGGGTGTGTTAACTGAAGCAGTCTATTAGTCGGGCATTTTGATGAGTTCCGTCTGAAATACTTTGGTATCATTAATTGATGGTGCTCGTATCAGCACCAAAACGCGTTTTGCTCTCTAGCCCTGCTGAGTTATAGTCTATGACGTTCTTTTTGCGCGTTTTGCCTACGAACAGCTGGTGTGACTAATATGCTGTTTTTTTTTCAGAACATGCCGTCCAAGTCTGAGTTTATTGTCCGTGTGGAGCTGTCTGCCATGCAGAAAAAGTACTACAAGTACATCCTGACCAGGAACTTCGAGGCGCTGAACGCAAAGTCCGGCGGCGGACAGCAGGTGAGATACCGACAGCGGACGGGACGGACCGCGGGGACGGGACCCACCGCTGCACACTGCACAGCTGCTGGGGTGTTCTGCAGATCCACATTCGAACCCGCGGGTGCTACTCCCAACTTGCAGTTCTATGATGCATTTAATTTTTGTTTCGCTGCCTTTGAGCTGGAAGACCGTGACTCCGCTTTACACCTAATAGCATTGCATATCGTCGCTGTGTAGTGCTGGCCTGTCATCATGTGACTGTTTGCGGCCTATGTGACCGTCTGACCACCTTTCTTCCCTCCCCCAGATGTCTCTGCTCAACATTATGATGGAGCTGAAGAAGTGCTGCAACCACCCCTACCTGTTCAGCGTGGCCTCCAATGAGGCGCCCAAGCTGCCCAACGGCATGTACGAGACCGAGGCGGTCACCAAGTCCAGCGGAAAGCTGGTCCTCCTCGCCAAGATGCTCGAGAAACTGAAGGCAGAGGGACACAGGTGGGTAGCCGTCGTGGCTGCTTTCGGGAGTGGCAAACTGTGCTTAATTAATGTTGACGTTTTTTTTGTAACTGCAACTGTTCATTTGTCATCACTCATTCATTATTCATTTATTACTGTTATAAAAGTAAACCTGCACTCATGACTCGAGGTCCAGCCATTTGCGACACAGTACCTGCATACAGGACTTGTTCGCCCAGCTCAGTGTTTCTGACCACTCTCCGTCTCCCGGGCAGGGTGCTCATCTTCTCGCAGATGACCAAGATGTTGGACATTCTGGAGGACTTCTGCGAGGGCATGGGCTACAAGTACGAGCGCATTGACGGCGGCATCACGGGCTCACTGCGACAGGACGCCATCGATCGGTTCAACGTGCCCGGCGCCACCGCCTTCGTCTTCCTGCTCTCCACCAGGTAGGGACGAACGGTTGCTGGGAGGAGCGGCCGGAATCGACGGATTGATTTGGATAACCACCTGGCCTCGTGGCCAACTCGAAATAACTTATCTGCTTTGTTACTTTGGAAGGCGTGTTTGAGCCAGGGACGTTTCTGAATTTGATTTAGACTATTAATTAGAGACTGTCGACTAATATTCATTTTAGGGCTGCATTGATTTGGTGTCAGTGTGGCTGGTGACGTCCTGACTCGTCTGTGTGCTGTCCGGACGTCCCTGTACCGCCCCACCCACTCCACCGCTGCCCGTCATATCATATTGAAACTGACCGTCCACGCTAACCCCCTCAGGGCCGGCGGTCTGGGTATCAACCTGGCCACCGCCGACACGGTCATCATCTACGACTCGGACTGGAACCCGCACAACGACATCCAGGCCTTCTCACGAGCACATCGTATCGGTCAGACCAGCAAGGTACGTGACGGAGAATCGCTGGGGAGCACGATCTGAACATCACGCCCTCCAGTGTAGCATTATGTGAACCCCTCTGTTTTTCCAATTTCATCGTACTATACTATCGACATGGTTTTGTAAAATGTAAAGGAATGAATTACTGTCCCGATACCACAACCCAAATGCGTGATTTCTATCTTTCGTACCTAGTGTGGCCTTGTTGCAGTTAGACCCGTGCCGTGCCGTTGACTAACATCCCCTCTTGTCCGTTTCCAGGTGATGATCTACCGTTTCGTCACCCGTAACTCTGTGGAGGAGCGCGTCACCCAGGTGGCCAAGAAGAAGATGATGCTGACCCACCTGGTGGTGCGGCCCGGCATGGGCGGCAAGGGCACCAACCTCAGCAAGAAGGACCTGGACGACATCCTCAAGTTCGGCACTGAGGAGTTGTTCAAGGAAGACGAGTCCAACCCGGACGGACCGGACAACGAGATCCACTACGACGACGCGGCTGTGAGCGCGCTGCTCGACCGATCGCAGTCCGGCATCGAGGAGAAGGCCGAGTGGAGCAACGAGTACCTCTCCAGCTTCAAGGTGCGTGAGCCAACAATGAAGTGACGGGGTGACGAGCGCATTCCAGCTTCAATTGGCTGAAAAGAATGGCTCAGCGTCATGAACTGCGATTTAGCTGTGATTTAGCTGCCTGGGCTGGTAGCCTCTGATATCTCTGTCAGTGTGTTGGCTCCTCACTACTCCCCGTTCTCAGGTGGCGACGTACGCGACCAAGGAGGGCGCCGAGGAGGAGGAGGATCTCGAGGTCATCAAACAGGAGGCGGACAACACGGACCCGCAGTACTGGGAGAAGCTGCTGCGACACCACTACGAGCAGCAGCAGGAGGACCTCTCCAGGACGCTCGGAAAGGGAAAACGAGTCCGCAAACAGGTCAGTCTGATGGGCAGAGATGAATCATGGTGTTGTAAGGACTGAGGTAGGAAGGTATACTGCCGTCGGGAGGAAAAAAGCCGTATCTGGGGCACTTTTTCGAATTGAAAATTGTTCAGGAGAGGCGAAAACGCGTTTTTTGTTATAAAATTCGTAAACTTCGCTCAATAACGAAACAAAACATACTGCAGTGATCGGAAAGAAATTTCACATCCAATGAAAGTGGTTATAAAAGGGAAATTATTTTAACCTAAAAGCAAAAGGCGAAAAACTTTTTTGCTGCCAATTCAACCCCGAGTTTGCGGAATCTTTCTCTCACGAAAAAAGCCGTATCGTGGAAGAAAGCCGCATCGTACGAGACACCTGAGCAATACTGTCATGCAAAAAGCCGTATGTCTGATACATTGGTTAACCGATCGGGAATAAAGCCGTATCGCCATTTTTGTTTAACCATATGTCGTCAAAAAGCAGTATCATCGGTGCATTTGTATTGACAGCACATTGGTTCATAAAAGTACTAAAGCAGATCCGCTGCTGGTTCCGTTCCACTGCTTCAGCTCTCGAGTATGGATATTTAATTGAACGTTCGATACAAAAACAAACATGATACCATTTTAAAACTACATCATCCATGAATAATCGCATTATTGTCGTAACTTTAGGCTCCTGGAATCTGATTGCGCAGGGTGCCATCAAAAGGCAGCTTGACCAACCGACCAGAGACGTAGCCAAGGGAGGGCACAGGGGCCATGCCCCCCCCCCCCATCTAAAGGCGAAAAATAAAATAAAATTTAATAAAAAAAATAACCACAGCTGCACCACACCCCAAAAGATAGTGGGCCAAATCCGAGGAGTTTTCCTTTTCTGGAGGGGCACGACACTAAGCCGCGACCTGTGGCTCCTCCCTGAGCAAAATCCTGGCTACGTGCCTGCAACCGACAAGGGGAATCACGAATGCTGTCTTTGTACGGTGCTTCAATTTTCGATTACACTGGACTCCAGAGTTTCTTAAATTCTGAGCCACCGATATATTCGGAGAGATGAGTGTGCCGGTCTGCCGCTGCGCCGGAGCCACGGCGACAATGTCGAGAGAACCGAGATAGTGTAGTTTCCCATCGTCGATCTGCAGACCTCAAAGCACTTCAAGGGGGCAAGAGACGATGAGTGGGAATGTTGCTGATTAGCTGGACACAAGGTTCCCGGAAAAGGGACGCTGTTAAGTCACGTGGTGCGCAGCTACAAGCACGGAACCGCCCGGCTCCTGAACCAAAATAGAGGATGGTGTAGAACTTCAGGAATTCCCGTAAAGAAACTGCATCTACAAAGCCTGTGCGAAACATCTAGGGCGACAGCACTGTGCCGCGGCTGAGGGTGAAAGCAAATGCCGCCTCATTGTCGGAGATCGCTAGACTGATGAGAGCTCCACAGTCTGCGGGAACGCCCTTTAGAGAGCGCACCCTCAAAAGGCCCCCCCTCCCCCCCAATGTGCACTCGTATTCACAGGGCTCTGATTATTGCGCCTACTGCAACAGAGCAGAGGGCTATTCAGTACGTCTTGCTGCATTCTCCACCGGCCACAGCTGTGCTGGTAGGCTCTGGGCAGCTGCCCGTAGAATATGACAATGTTAGAATTTCAAATATGATTGAACATCATGGGCATGAGGGAGACGGAAAGAAGACGGTAAAGTCATTGACCAGGACTGGAAGTGACAGGGGATGACGGTCCCAAAGATACATCGGGCGTGGTCACAATTATCACAATGAATGTGACGAGCTTGGCAATAGCAATCGACCTTTCACGGTATTCAACTATATCTTCAACGGTTTTACGACAAAGATTGTAGGTCGTCGTACTAAGCGTGCCGGCTACGAGCTGCATGTCTATGATGATTACCGGGTCGAACTTAACATGATGCTATTTTGGTTGTGGGGTGAGGTGGGGACAGGGAGTCCAAATTAATCATGGGGAGGCTAGGTCGGGTATTTTTTATTGGAATTTTAAACGAAGCTGGAGAAAAGAACGGTCGGATTATACTGGCGCTCCCGGCTGGTTAGTACATCAAAATACTGAATGCCCGGCACCCTGCTGACACCAGCGAGTTGGCAAAGTTCTGTTGGCTTCAAACTTCTCAAGTTCACTCCCTATTTTATTTTAATTAAAATTCCGCTATAAATGGTCACATATTGGTACGATCACGTAGCATGTTTGTGTAAATGTTCAACTGTTCCGTCCAGGATATGCCGAAGCCATGCTAAATGAGTAGATACGGCTTTCTTCCAAACTGCCTGGACCAACGATTCGGCTCATATTTCACAGGCCACCATCAAATAAAAGCCGTATCTACAAGATACGGCTTTCTTCCTGACTTATCAGTTCCACATTCTTTGTTTGAAATTTTGTATAAATGCCGTATCTGCCGAATTTAAGGATACGGCTTTCTTCCTGCATGTTTTGCTATCCCTGGTGTAACAAATCCGTTTTTGAATTTTTATATTATATATAATATCTTCATTTTTGAGTGTACACACGTTTGAGCAGTACCATTAAACGCACCATGAAAAGAGCTTTCCAACGATATCAAAAACGAAAAATCGATAAAAATGCGACTTACGGCTTTTTTCCTCCCGACGGCAGTATAGGTACGACCAGTGCAGTTGACGGCAGAGCTGGATAAAAATCGGACATGGTACGGATGGGGGTAATCAGGACGGTGTACCGACAGAGTAAGCTTGGCCTGAACACTCGAGCAGAACTGAGACATCTGGCCCATAACCAACCGCTTAGCTTCGTGTCACTGTCTTACACTAACGCCTCCCCGCCGTTCCAGGTCAACTACAACGACACGAACGACGGTCGCGACGAGGGCAACTGGCAGGGCGAGAACCCGTCCGACTACAACTCGGACTTCTCCGTGCCCTCCGACGACCAGGACAGCGACGCAGACCTCGACGACTGTGAGTTACGGCGCTCAGAATATGTGCAACGGGGCACACCTTAGCATAGCAGTGTTGTTCTGGCGTGAAAATGTGCATGTTGATAATGCTTAAATCCATGTACTCAGTTGTTACAGTATGCCAGCAGGCTATATTATGCAGTTATGACTTATGCACTGTGCGTGTGTGCACTCAGCTGGTCCAGTGTTACTCATGTCTTTTCTGTTCCATAGCCGATGTGCGGAAGCGTCGCCGTGGCGAGGCCCGCGACCGTCCGCTGCCGCCGCTACTGGCTCGTGTCGGAGGCAATATCGAGGTGGGTGGCTGGCCAGTCATATCCCTCAGCTGTCTGTCTACTCTCCGGGCTCGACTGTCATTCCGTTTAGCGTATCTTACCGAGGAGCGTATTCCGTCCGTGATTGGCGTTTTAGGTGGTGGGGCTATGTGCATTGTGTCGCGTCGTCCCGGACAGTGCCGGTCAGCCGTCGGCGCGGTAGTCTGACGCCGTCGGCGGCCGGCCGGGTCCGCACAGCAGTCTGGGCCGGTACGGGAGGTCTGCGCCGCCCCCTGCGGGTGGGACGCGCCGACCGGCCGGCGCTGAGACCTTACAGGCGGCCGTCTGTACAGCCACGAGGCCGGCCGTAAAGGGGGACTCGCACATTTGAATACACTCGGGCGCCCTGCCGACTGGCCTGTGACCCTTTCCGTGGTCTGCAATACCTATAGGGAAGAGTGCGCGTTTACCTGGATTGATGACGGCGATAATCAGCTGTGCTGTGCTAGTGAAGTTTATGTCATTTCGGCGTGAGTCTGACCAGTGACCAACCATGTGTTACAGGTTCTCGGCTTCAACGCCCGCCAGCGCAAGGCGTTCCTGAACGCCATCATGCGCTGGGGCATGCCGCCGCAGGACGCCTTCAACTCGCAGTGGTGAGTCGGACGACGCAGGCGACATGTCCATAAAGTGGCGTGAATTTGCCACACTAACATGCAAGGTTATCTGTATAAGATATTACAGTGTTTCTCTTTTTTCATGAAGTAGGAAGATTGGAATGGTTGCGACATGTTGCGATATAACTAATTGATGAATATTCGTTGCATGGGTGGCGATTATTGTAATCTTCAAGCCGGTCGCTCATAGGTGACTTACAGATAGAATGAAGAAGACCACAACTTACGTATGACATTGGAGACGGCAAGGCCTGACCCCCGTGAGTACCGTCAGCGATTAACTCTATGTCGCCTATTGCAGGCTGGTTCGTGACCTGCGCGGCAAGTCTGAGCGCAATTTCCGTGCGTACGTGTCGCTGTTCATGCGGCACCTCTGTGAGCCGGGCGCCGACAACTCGGAGACGTTCGCCGACGGCGTGCCCCGCGAGGGACTCAGCCGGCAGCACGTGCTCACTCGCGTCGGTATCATGTCACTCATCAGGAAAAAGGTCAGTGGGAGGGGTCGGCTGTGTGGGCAGGCCAGTGTAACAGGTTTCGGTTCTCGGTCTAGTGGAAAGGACGTAGTTCGACTTTTATGCTCTAGGAACGGAAAGTTATTTCGTGATCAATGGGCTAGCCAGTCAATGAGCTAAGTGGCGACCTTCCGACGTGGTATAGTTCGTTTTTTTTCTAAGTTCGACCCTCACTGTAAACGTCTTTTTGAACAGAGCACGAGAATTGCTGGCTGAATTACTGAGAAAACTGGTTGGTGCACATTGATTTCACAGACGATCAAATTCATCAAAATGATTTCTATCTGATATGTATTTTCCCAGACTTGCAGCTCGTATTTGCTTATGCTTACAAAACCACAGGGATAGACGACTTGCCAGGAATGATAACTGACCTTATCAGTAGATTGCAGGGCGTCTAACATGACGGTATATTATCGGCGTTTAAAATTAATTTGGCAATTATTATTCATTACTCCAATACAATGTGCGCTAACCAGTTTTCTCAGCAATTCAGCTAGCAATTCTCGTGCTGTGTACAAAGAGACGATTACAGTGAGGGTCGAACTTAAAAAAAAAAACGAACTTTAACACATTATCACAACGGACTGACCGTCCAGTGGCGGATCCAGGATTTTCACTGGGGAGGGGCTGCAGGTCATAATTGGGCGCCACGCCCCGGATGGGCGCCATAGTCGCATCGTGGATCTTTTTTGTTAGTTGCGTAGGGTTGCGTCAGTTGGAGTCGGCAGTTTTGATCGGAGTCTGAGTTGGAGTCGGTTCATTGGCATCCCTCGACTCCGATACCGGCTCGGAGTCAGAGTCTGTTAAAATTATCTCTACCTACCTCCCTTTTTATTTAAAGGTAAACAACCAACGTTTGGATACAAAACAAGTTTCACCGAAGTTTCCAGGCCTATCTCTCGACTCTCGTCGATGACGATTTTAGGAACCACTCTTTCCCATGATCCATCGGTGGATGGTAGCCAGAGAAACGTGGACGAGCGGCGACTGAAAACGTATTGGGTAGTTTGTGACAGAGATCCCAACCGCAGCAGATATTTTTTTACATGCCCTGTGACACGAAATCCAGCCATGAATAAGCACGAGTTCAGAAGAGTATGTTATTATGTACCAAGTGGGAGGTAAATGTTAGACGGAATACAAGAGGCGCCCAGGATCAGTATGTACAGTGACACCACACGATTGGAAATATCGGTGCGGAGCGTACTGAAACGACGTTATTCGACTGATTTTTGCATCCTAGTCCTAGTATGCGGCACTCCGATGAGTTGCGAATTGAAAATTGGCGCCACTGCGCCTTCGGCGCAGTGGCGCCAGTTTTCCTTGGGTGGGGGCTGCCAGCCCCCGCAGCCCCCCCACCTGGATCCGCCACTGTGACCGTCGGCTGTCTGTTCCAGGTCCAAGAGTTCGAGGCGGTGAACGGCAGTTTCTCTGTGCCGGAGCTGATGGAGCGTCGCGCCGCTGCGGCGGCAGCGGCGGCGGCTACTCCAGTGGCCTCGTCAGCGGCGCCGTCCGACCAGACCTCTGCGCAGACGTCTGCCTCGGCCACCCCGGCCACATCGGCGGCCCCCAGCCCCGCGCCGGCGCAGGTAGGAGCACACGGCCGACTGGGCGTCAATGAGCTGGTCAGCGCTAGGCTTACCTAGGACACCAATGCCGGCAAGGTCGACTCGACTATGACGGCTCATGCTGTTAAGAGCATGGCTTGCCTCAAATGAAGCTATGTGCGGCTAGTTCCATCATTCGGACTTGGTCTTGTCAATCGGTAGCAATGCTTAATTTCTGGTGTGATAGTTTCCTTTGAGTCGTTCACTGTTCCGCTCACTGAGCGTCTCCGATCCGTTTCAGAACGGTGAGAAGAAGGAGGAGCCTGAGGAGCCGCCGCGCCGCGCGGAGAAGGAAGCCACAGACGGCGAGCCGGCGAAGGACGCCGCCGAGTCGGCCGACGGAGCCGCCAAGGCCGAGCCTGCCAAGGACGGCTCAGCAGCAGCTCCGGCCGGCGAGGTGAAGCCCGAACCGATGGAGACCGACGCTGCCAAATCTGAGACCAAGGAGACCAAGGAGGAGCCGGCGACGCCGAAAGCAGAGCCGGCGGCGGATAAAGAGAAGGAGAAGACAGAGGAGAGTTCCCCGGCTGAGGGAGAGGCGGGCGAGAAGAAACCGGCAGAGGCCGCGGCGGTGAAGAAGGAGGAGAAGACAGAGACCAAGGAGCAGCCCGAGAAAAAGGAGGTGAGGAGAGGGTGGGATCTCGGAGCAGGTTTTTGGGACTCTGTCGCTCTGGGGCGGACAATATCGCTGACGACGAGGTCCTCCCTCCTGTTTGCCTACTGATAATGCAATCTCTTATCGTCTTTCTTTGGGCCTGCTCATTCTCCTTTATTCTTATTTTCATGTGGTGCATTTTGTGTGTCCACGTTCCGTTAACCTTCCAGGCGGTGGGGGGGGGCATTTTTTTGCCCCCCCCCTTTAGTTTTTTCGATATATCTCGAGAACCGCTGCGCCGATCGTCACCAAACTTTCAGTACCCTCCCGGGAGCAGCTAGCGCACATGGTGACCAAAAATTTTTCCAAAGGCTATGATAGGTTGGCCGCTAATGGCGTCAGAGTGACGTCATTTTTGCCATTTTCGACCAAAAAAAGGTTTCGCGGGAAGAGCTGTCAGGCCTACAGCTTTAGAGATACAGAAAAATGTTTCAGACATAAAAGGTGTGGAATTAAGAGGGCTACAAAACTGCTATTTCGGTTTTTCGAATTTTTTGGATTTTGACCCCCAAAAATCAAAAAATAGATTTTTTGAATATAATAGCCTAAAAATCCAAAAAAAAAATTTGAATTTCGAAAAAACCGGAATATATGTGATAGCTCCTACCACCTTTTATCTACATACCAAGTTTGAGATCGATACCTCTTTTTTTGGCCAAGTTATAGCGAAAAAACTGTTCAAAATTGATGACGTCAAATTTTCAAACTCAATTTTTAGCAATTCTAGACCTCATAGCGCAAAACAAAGACCACCATTAGACTCCCCGTGACGAGCTGCATCGAATCGATACACATTTTATGCAAAAATATCAACTTTGAAATTTGACCTTTTTTGACCTGACCTTGACCTGACCTCCACCAGAAAGTGACCTAAACCGTACCTGATGGTCTTATAACCAACACCATTGAGTTGGAAATGAAAAACTGGCCATAAAACATGCATCGCATAACCTTAGTAAAGTTGGGCTCATGTGGTGACCCTTGGTGACCTTTGGTGACCTGACCTGTGACCTGACCTGGTATGACCAGTGACCTCTAATAGCAACATATGTACTAGACAACTGACGCCTTATCGCTGATTTTCGACAAAATGCGTTTTACTCGGTGTTATAGCGCTTTCCCTAGAAGCCCCGTGAACGGTGAAACATTTTATCTTTGACCTGACCTGTGACGTCATCGGTGACCCCGAGGTCAATGAAATTTGGTTTCCCTCGACAAATTTGACAGGGCTATCGAACGCCGTTTGAATTTTCCGGATCCGTTCAGTAGTTTCGGAGATACGGGGGGGGGGGCAAAAAAGTGCCCCCCCCCCCCACCGCGCGGAAGGTGGCTGGTAGGCCCACCGCCTGCCGGGTTAATGGTCTGTCGGGCCCACGTAAAAAACCCTTTGTCCCTTGTCTCTCAGGAGAAGAAGCTGTCCCGTCCGAAGCACAAGTTCATGTTCAACATCGCCGACGGCGGGTTCACGGAGCTGCACACGCTGTGGGTGAACGAGGAGAAGGCGGCCGTGCCGGGCAGAGAGTACGAGATCTGGCACCGGCGCCACGACTACTGGCTCCTGGCCGGCATCGTGGTGCACGGCTACGGCAGGTGGCAGGACATCCAGAACGACATACGGTGAGTTATCTGGGCTGCTGGGTTGGGAACGATGCGCAGTGGGGTTCGCGGCTGGGACCGAAACATCCCGGCAGAGCGATAATATGTGCGGAGTGTCGCGTTCGTTACGTCAGCCAGCCTCTCCGTAACGCCGTGCGGTCGTCCGTGCGGCGTCCCATCTTCCTTTTCTCTCCTCTCCTCTCCCCAGTTACCCGCATCTGACTTCAACGTACCCCGCTTTGCCTCAGGTTCGCTATCATCAACGAGCCGTTCAAGATGGACGTCGGCAAGGGCAACTTCCTCGAGATCAAGAACAAGTTCCTGGCGCGGCGGTTCAAGCTGCTGGAGCAGGCGCTGGTGATCGAGGAGCAGCTGCGCCGCGCCGCCTACCTGAACCTGAGCCAGGAGGCCAGCCACCCGGCCATGGCGCTCAACGCCCGGTTCGCAGAGGTCGAGTGTCTGGCCGAGAGCCACCAGCACCTGAGTAAGGAGAGCCTGGCCGGAAACAAACCGGCCAACGCCGTCCTCCACAAGGTGGGTGGGGTAGGGCAGCCACTGCTGGGCCGGGGTGGAAGGGTTGTCTGTTATGGTAGTAGATCCTGATAACGCTGGCCAGCGGGAAGTACTTTGCACTACGCTAATAATGTTATGCTTTTGCTGTAACTGTGCGCAACTGGCCTTCGGTCATACCTGTACCGTGTTGTTTTCTGTGCGTGTGCTGTAACGCTGTTGTTTCCGTCTGCGCAGGTGCTGAACCAGCTGGAGGAGCTGCTGTCTGTCAGTGTACGCTAACGACTGTTGTGTCTACAGGTTCTGAACCAGCTGGAGGAGCTGCTGTCGGACATGCGCTCGGACGTGTCCCGCCTGCCGGCCTCTCTGGCGCGCATCCCGCCCGTGGCCCAGCGACTGCAGATGTCAGAGAGGTCCATCCTGTCCCGGCTGGCGGCCGGCACCTCGGCGCAGCCAGGTCAGTATCATAAGGGGCAACTCTGCTCCCCTCCCCCGATCACATCCTTAGCACAGCGGCTCAGCCAAGTCAGTATAAGGGGCACTGATTGAGCGGGGCGGGCTGAGATCAACACATACTCCTCTCCTGCAATGTCCTTTGAATAGCTGTGTCAGTCACTGGTCACTCTTCACCTCGCCTGAAATGTCGGTTGGATCAGTGACTCATTCGTCAATTATTTACCCATCGGAAGAACATAATGAGACTTTGATAACAAAATATTGCTTCGGTTTTGTCGTGCTGCGTGTGCCGAACCCCGTCAGATTGCTTAACCTCTGTCTGTGTTTTCCAGGCGCGGAGGGTAGCGGCAGCCAGTTCCCGGCGGCGCTGCAGGCCCAGTACTCGGGTCTGAACCTGGCCGCGCTCCGTCCGCAGTACTCGGTGCCCGGTATGGCGGCGCCGTCTCACCCCGCCTTTCCGGGACAGACCACCGGCGCGGCCGCAGCCACCAGCGAGAAGTGAGCGCGGCGGGCGGGCTGTCTGTGCGAGGGGGAGCGGGGTGGGTTTCACGGCATCTGTGTGCGCCCGCTCGGCTAGCTGAGCGGAGCGGGTTGTGATGTGTCTGCGCTCAATGTCATCATGTGTGCCGGCTGGGGAGACCTGGTGGCTCCAAGGAGGACCATAGAGGGACCGGACCGAACCGTAAAGGTCTGTGAATAGACGGGACCTAAAAGGTCCGTACTGTGAAGAGAGTGGACCTTGGGGAACGAACTGGGCCGGGCCGGACTGTGGATAGGACCGGACCGAACCAAACTGGAAGGTTAGAGTGTCCGGGTTCGATTAGCTGTGCTCTTCGGTCTCAATTCATATGATCTACACCGACGTTACCTGGCTGCTGTAAGGTCCTCTTGCCCTGTGTACTAATACATCGCTGTCCAAAATTACACCGGTGTGTTTCTCGGGAAAATTGCTCTTACATTACATTCAAAGACGGTTCGTAAGCTCTTATGTTGGAAAGTGGGTTTCGTCGCGTGGTTCGCAAGTTGGGCCGGCAAATTTGATACGAATGCGCACCAGCAGAATAAGATCTGCGTTCCAACTCGGCACAACCCCTGTCTGGGACGTTTAGTTCTGGTGGGGTCGCGCAGGTCCTGACCTTTGCGACTGATGGGGAAATCCCGGGCAGACAGCTGGGAACTGGCTGCAGCCGACCGAGCTCTGAATCGGCTCGAACCAGACCCTGACCGTCGCCCGTCAGACCAGCTCAGCACTACGAGTATGAGTCACAGACACCGGGGGAAACCAGCCTGTGTCGTGATGCCGGTATTTTTTAAACCTTCGCTGCTCACACGTCGCTATGTTGCAATGTAGCCGACTTTGATGGTTTTTGTTCGTCATTTTCCCCACCTCTGATGTGCCGGTCACGACTCAACACAGTCGAGTACCGCGCCACGTCTGCCGTCTTCCCTGCAACCCGTTCCCGCCGTCCTGCACTGCCGGCTTGTCTACTAGATCCGCCCCTGCCGGTGGTCTCCTGGATCCGCCGCTGCCGAGCCGGTCGTGCCGGGTAGAGGGAGAGGGAGAGGGGGAGGGAGAGTCGCCGCGGCTCGCCGACCGCCAGTCACGCTGGGCGTCGCCGCCGGTAGAGGTGTGAAACAACGGTACTGCTGTCAGGGAAAAGCCGCTCAGCTCACAGAGAGACCAGAGCCAGCGAGTGCAGGACGAGCTACTGAGCTGCGGAACAAACAGAAGGTATGTGCTGCTCTTAGTGCTCTTGTATGGGACCATAAAGCCGGTATTTTATTTTACTGTATGCCTGGCCTATTCAAATACATTAGCCGGAGGGGTGTGGTAATAACTGGTGTAAGCAAATTGACCACGGTCAAAAATGCATTACCAGAATGCACTTAAGCCAACATTTTGGGATGGTCTCGTTCCTAAGTCTGCTAAGAGCTTCGGTCCAGAAAATAAATTTATCGTTGGCATACAGTAAAATACATACCAAACTCGGCCGGTGATAAATTTTCAAGACCTCAGTCCTTACTGATTTTTGAACTCGGCCTTCGGCCTCGTTCAAAAATCCAGTAAGGACCTCGGTCTTGAAAATTTATTTACACCGGCCTCGTTCAGTATTATATAGGACCGGTGTTAGGGTTTTTGTTGGGAGAAACGAAGATCACTTGGGGCCGGCCGGGCGCCGCCAGTTGTGGGTTATTGAACTTGGAATGGATTCAGCTGCGGTGGGGTGTGGGACTCGGGTACCTTCAACGGTCGATACCGCGGAGGGGGCTACGGAGACAAAGGGGTAGCGTTATGGCCAATTATCTGATGGGCTTGTCATCTGCTACCCTAAAGCGTGCTAACAAGGGCTGGGATGTGCTTTTGCTGAGTCATGATGAGTTGAACCGCTTGGCATGAAAATATTTCACCGTTCCCCAGGTTTCTCATGTTATTGAATGCATACATTTTATTCTCACGTTTTTTACTTGCCCCTCATCTCTCTCCCTCCCCCTCTCCCATCTCTCGCCTCCCTCTCTCTCTCCACAGCCATGGGTCTGGACCTGTACTTCATGGACAAGAGCTCGCCGGCCCGGGCGGCGCTGCTCCTCATCAAAACGCTCGGCCTGGACGTCAACGTCAAATCGCTGGATCTCTTCGGCGGGGAACACCTGCAGGAAGACTTTGTCGCCGTAAGTGATGGCGGTGTGGTACAGCTGAGCTGACGTAGCCCCGGAGCTATCATAGTCGATATACCCAACAGTCCGACATTCGACACCCGTGATTCATAGCTCTTGTATCAGAATTGGACACGATGAAACAGTGGGGAGACTGCGGATGTATTTCCTAGCCACTTCCAGTCTTCCCGGCTACCACGCTGCGGTGATGGACGATACACGAACAAAAGTCGACACCGGAACATTTGGCAATCCCTGACACATGCACGGTTGTGCGCTGTTCAAGGGTTGGTGCTCGCTGCGCTTATTATGCAGTTTGCTCCACTACTGTCAGTGTCACGTCTTTCACTCAACCTCACGTTCGCTAGTACTTTTAAGTGGGCGCCGTGCCCTGGCAAACCAAGCGATGAATACCCGAAGGGCCCGAGGGATCCGCTCCATGTGTTTGACCGGACGCCGGTCCGATAAAGGCAGCATCTATCATTTGTTTGCGCAGGTCGGCACTCCACCCAGTCCCGAACCCACCTTTCATACTAACGGTGATGTCGTGTTATGTTACAGATAAACCCCCAGCACACCATCCCGACTCTGGTGGACGGAAAGTTCGTCATATGGGAGAGGTAATGTACGACTTATTCGATGACTTTTGTCACCGAATTTTGTAATAACTGTCAAATAACAGCGAGGATAGGGGTCTGGGGATACTAGAACCGTTTTATGACGAGGCTAAACGATAAGTGATGATTGTATGATAACCATAAACGAAGGAAACCTGACGGTGGTCACTGGTCCCGGATGGAAACTCATCTAAATTTACCAGGCTTCCGTCAAATGTGTTCAACTGTTCAGCTGTGTCTCTGTTGTTTTCTCTGATGTGCGACTCGCCTGTTTTCAGTCGCGCCATCATGACGTACCTGGTGAGCAAATACGGTAAGGACACCTCCCTGTACCCTACCGACCCTGAGGAGAGAGCTGTGGTCGACCAGAGACTCTACTTCGACATGGGCACACTGTACGACAGCTTCGGAAAATGTGTGGTGAGCAGCGAAGACTAATGTCATCTCCTGAGGAAGTCCAAATCGAACCGTTTTTTTTTTTCCTGGGAGAGCTACACCATTTTCGAACCAAGTTAAGACAAATGAAGCCCAATTTAAAACTGGAGATTTCTGAATTAAAACAATCGAAAAGTGGGTTAAAACACGTGACATTGAGCTTAAAACAACTGACACGCGAAATCACGTGTTGGTCGTCTTAAGCTGAATGTCACGTGTTTTAACCCGCGCGGGGCTGGGGGGGGGGGTAAATTTTACCCCCCTCGCAAATTTTTGCGATATCTCAAAAACGGCGGCGCGCAGCGCCGCCAAACTTTCTGTACCTTTTCTTACATCAATTTGACACGTTCCCTGAAAATTTGAGCGAAATCCGTCGGAAAATTTTTGAGAAATTGACGTTTTAGTGACGTCATGTTCGCCATTTTCGCCTCAAAAACAGCAAAAGTTCAAACGCCGCTAACATCTTCATTTTTAAAGGAATCAAGACGTAAAAAAAGGGGTATACGTAATTTTACTTTGTCTATCAAATGGCTATCTCGTTTTTTTGAAAATTTTGGATTTTGGCCTAAATTTTTTTCAAAAAACTGACTTTTTTGGGAAAATCATTATAAAATCCAAAATTTTGAGTCTATCGAAAAAACCGGAATATATGTCAGAGAAGTGGTCTATGTGCACCTACATACCAAATTTTACAAGAATCGGTTCAAAAATGTGGGAGTTATTCAAAATTTTATGACGTCACGACACACAATTTTTTTGAAAAATGACTTTTTTGAAAGTTCTAGACCTCGTACGAAAACAAAAATAGCACCATTCGATTCGCCGTGAAAAACTGCATCAGATAGACACCTTTTTAGGCCTTAACAACCAACTTCAAAATTTGACCTCACTTGACCTGACCTTGACCTGACCTTGACCTGAAATTCATCCAGAGGTGGTCCATATCACTTATTGAGTGTGCCTATTGAATTCTATGAGTAAAATGACCCATAAAACATGTGTCGCACATGCCCTTTTCTATATTTTGTTTTTGGTGACCTGACCTGACCTGACCTGACCTTGACCTTGACCTCTGAATGATATTGTATGCAGCGAATATTGTCTTGGTAGCCTAAGAACACGTTTTGGGCGATCAGTCTCAGTCCATGACTCCATTCTTCGGCAACTACGGTGCAAGGCCGATACTGTAGAAACTTGCAATTTGTACCCTTGACCTGACCTTGACTTTGACCTCAAACTTTAAATTAAGTACATGTTTTTAGTAGTTCGTGATGAGAGCTTTCGATTGGCGTTTGAATTTTCCAAATCGGACCATTAGTTCGGGAGATAACAGGGGGGTAAAATTTACCCCCCCCCCCCAGCCCCGCGCGTTCGGCTGGAGACCCCAGCCCCGCGCGGGTTAACACACTTTTCGATTGTTTTAATTAAAAAATCAACAGTTTTAAATTGGGCTTCATTTGTCTTAACTTGGTTCGAAAATGGTGTAGATGGGATTTTATAAATGTCCATCATTGTATGCTAATTAGCAAACGATTGATATATCTGGCTACCCGAAAAGGTACGCTCCAGCGCTGTACAGTGTGCGTATTACGCCGACCCAAACTTTTTCTAGAAGTCGGATCCAGACTTCTTTCAGTAACTAGTCCTCCTGCCTCACCTTCCCCAGTACCCCATCATCTTTGGAGGTGCCAAAGAGGTGGATGAGGCCGCCCTGACGAAGACGAAGCAGGCTCTGACGTTGCTGGAGGGCTTCATCGGAGACCGGGGGTTCGTGGCCGGCAGCAGTCTGACGGTGGCCGACATCGCCCTGGGAGTCACTGTGTCCACACTGGAGGTGAGGGACGATCGGGAGGGTCGCTCTGTGAGGGATGCTCGGGGAGGGACGCTCGAGGGACGCTCGTGGAGGGTCGATCGAGGAGGGTCGCTGGGGGAGGGTCGATCGATGAGGGTCGCTCCGTGAGGACGCTCCTCTGAAGGTCTCCACTTCCAGCCTGCCGTCTATGTAAGCATAGTTCACCGATCTGACGATAGATGTCAGGTCATGCACATCGAGTCCCGGCGATCGCGGGCTGAGGTCCAGAAAATCCAGTTTGAAAAAACATTGTGATTGATGCGTGTCCTGTGTCTAATTTTCCCGATGCTCTGTTTCGCAGGCGTCTGGCATCTTGGACCTGTCTGCCTACCCCGTCGTCAGCGCCTGGCTGAACAAGCTGAAGACGACGCTGCCCGGGTACGCGGAGGCCAACCAGCCGGGAGCCGAGGCCTTCGGCGTCATGTTCAAGAAGGCGCTGGCCAGAAAATCGTGAGCTCGAGGATGATACCAGCGAGGGTGGCTTATGGACAGAAAGAGGCCAACAACCCTGCCACAGTGTTCTAAGAACAGAACTGGAGCTTACAGCACGTTGGCCAAATGGATATGTAACGGAGACTGTCGGGAAATATGAAATATATGTTTACAAAATATTGGTGAAAAACTGTGTTTACGACGACAATGAGTTGTGATAGTTATAAAGGGACCAACGTTTTTTTTTCAATAATAATGATCCCATCGCACTTATCGGCTAAGAGGTCAACCGTTTAGCCAAGGGTCTGTTTTTTATGTCTACGTTCAGATTACGTACTAATATTTATGTATTAATATGAATTATATATTATGTATTATATATTACGCATACATAATACATAATATGTACAATGTATTATGCATTATATGAGGATGCTTACGTATCCCACATCAGCAGCTTATGTCTAATCCCCCTTCATTCTGATGACGTCATCCTCCACCTCCTTCCGGAGGAAACTGCGGACCGCGGATGTCGGTCCGTCAGACGGCCTCTGTGACCGCCGACCTTCGACGCTCCTTCGTATGACCCACTCTCCTCCACCTGTCTCTGTCCGCGGTGACGTAACGAACGACTACTCCGGACTGCCCCGGCCGGTCCTCAGTGACGTCATACCCTCTGACGTCACCGGAGTTTCCGCGTCACCACGAGCTGGACTGCCGGCCGGCCGGGCGGTGGCGGTGACCAGACTCGCCGCTACTATAAACAGTTGTATGTGACAGAGGCGCGCCTGCTCTCGTCAAACCGAGCCGAGCAGCGGGCGCCGCCTCCTCAGTCGTATACCGTAACCGCCGTCCACACACTGAGCTGAGACCGGGTCCGTTGGACTGGGTTTGTGTGCTTGTGGAACTTCTGGAGATAGTGACGGCTGAGGTGGACAGTCTGTGTGTGGACCTGACGCCTATCGTGCTTCAATCGGACCGTAAACGGAACATCCCGATTGGTGCAGCGGCACACAGTGCAGTGTTTAATAACGCACGGTCAGTCCCCGGTACGGTGCATGCTTTAAGTGGTCCATTGTGTGCACACACACATACATCGGCAGTGTTTGTGCCGCCAGCGAACAGTAATCAACTGAGCCTAATTCTGTTAGAATTAGCGACACTCCCGGCCACGAGGCACTCGGAGACCGTACCAAACACCGCAGCGACGTCGCCCGAGGGATCTACCCGTCAATTCCAGTAAGGTCAGTGTCACCATTCGCCCGCCCGCTCGACCAAATGGCATGTCCCCGTCAGTCCTAACTGCAAACACATCATCATTCGCTGCATATTCAGTGCCATAAGCTGACGGGCGTGTCGTTTGTCCAGCGGCGACCCGCTGGCCGCCATGCAAGTTAACGGCGGAACGGCAAACACTTTCTCCGTGATCATTAATGACTTGGGAGTGCGTTTTCGTTTGATTGCCTCCCTGCTAGTGCTGACCGCTCGTCCCGCCTGCCGCCGATACCCTCGGTCCCGGCCGCTGCAGCTCACACAGACGGGCTGGGCCGACAAAGGCTTGTCTGTCGGACCTCGATTATACTTGATATATAATTTCATGCAATAAAAACTGTCGCACTTGATAACATTTGATAAGTACTTATAGGTATATAGGTAGGTACGGGTGTATTTACATGATTACCAACGACGCATTATATGATGATACGGCTGGACGTATAAACGACGAAAACTGGCTCAGCATAACAATCGATAAATTCCGCAATGGCAAATTGTAACAATGGCAAGACCCAAATTAAACATACCTATAACATATTTAACGAGCACGCCGCAGGATCAATACGGAGCTCATTACGGTACGGTTCTGTCCCTATAACGCATCCACATTACATCACGAAGAACAAACACCGGCTTACACGTACCTAAATTAATTAGAGGCGTGGTGAACGTTTATTTCCCGGTTCTGTTATTCGTGCGCCGAAACATGTGCCATGCAGTTACGCTGCAAATGAAGCTCAGACCATTAGCCATCTACGCTGCTCTGAAATACATATGTGCCATGCAGTTACGCTGTAAATGAAGCTCAGGCCATTAGCTTAGTGTTTGCTGAATTCGTTTTCCATATTCGACAAACCCTGCGTGGAAAGAGAGCATTTGATCTAATAAATACATATATATCGTAAATAGTGCTTAGCTTGCGAGTACCTAATGGGCTTCCTTATATAACAATAGTTGCATTCTTGCGCATCGTATTGCTGGCTACTGCAGTACTGCAACGTGAAAATCCAGAACCATATCATTATTTACTGTTGCTTTTGACTGCAAGGCTGATTTACGCGGTTAATTTATGTACGGGCTACTGATGCGCGAAGCGCTATCGCTATAGGCATTCAGCCGGGTTCTATTGGTTATTTAACGCAGCCGTGACATTTCCATGGGTCACATATAATTTATTACAACCAGTATAGGCACCAATGTCACCTGACTCCTGAGCTTCCACTTCATTAACATTGCGTACAACTGATGGGCAGTAACTGACTCTAATTACTTCGCGTGCCATTAGCATTCCGGCTCTACATAAAGTGCTGTTTGCAGGGCGCTCTCATTGCCCATATGGGCGTCAGTAAGTGGGATGGTCGACTTGCCAGCATTCAAAACTCAAGCATGGGAGTTAAGCCGGCGAGTCAGAAATCATATTCATAAGGCAGCCCATTCTCTGCAGCCTGCAGCAATAATTCCACGTATGATGTAACCGCTCTACAAGTGCTGTACGGTGCTCGGAAGCTGGTTTTTACATTACGGACAATTGCTGTCTTAAATAGCTCACTTCCCCCCTGGTTGTCCAGGACAAAGCCTTGGACAGGACGGTGTCCGGCCGACACGTCATCGCGTTCCAATTACCGCGGCGGCGCGGCGGCGGGGCGGGTTACTCCGATGACCGGTGTAGGTAGGTACGGGGAGCAGCAGGTCGACGCGCCGTACAAGGGCGGGTTTTTCCAGCGGCGGCCCAAGGTCTGGTCCTGACGGCCGGGCGAGGGTGGACGGGCGGCAGTGAGACAGGGAGAGGCAGAGGGAGAACAGCCACTGACAGTGAGGTGCGACAGGGAGAGGAGACGGTCGAGAGTGTGAGGGATAGTGCGGAGCTGTGAACCGTCAGGGAAGTGAAGTGAGGGAGCGAGAGCGAAGACGGCTGCTAAGGACAACTTTGGAGACCAGCCACGTCCTCAGTGGGGGTTCATAAAACTGGTGAGCACCTAAACATAAAACGTGACCCAAGGCCCTATATACGACGTGACCCGGCGAGCCGTAACTGACCGGTAACTGACCCACGGTGTCGCGTCCTCTCCGGCCGCTCCGTCCCGCTGAGCTCCGCTCGCGCGCCGGGGCCAGTGAACCGGTCCGTTTATTGCCCGTGCTGTCGGTCCACGAGTGTCTCTCCCACAGAAGTAGCTGACCCGCTCAGTGTCGCTCTGTTCGGCGACTGATCCGCTCTGTGTGTCCCGGCAGCAGACGGCTATCCCGACGGCGGGTGTCTGAGGTGACCAGCGGAGGTCAGCGGAGGTCAGCAGAGGTCAGCAGAGGTCAGCAGTCACACAGGAGGTCACCATGCGACCACTGCTCGCCGGTGTGGTGCTGCTGGTGACGTCTGCGCTGGTTCCAACCCAGGCGCTCAGTCGGAACCGGAGAGCACCCGATATCAACTTTAACGAAGGTGAGCTTATGGGGTCTCAGTTGATTTAATAGCATGGACAAGTCAGTATTCATTGGTCTAAATCTGTTATGAACTGGCTAGACTAAAACTATCCACTTTGTATGTTAAAACGTAGTTACTTAACTTCACTTTCCGTATATGTGTGACCAACAGAACTTTTAAACGATGTGGGGCAATAAACAAATATCTCTATAACAAACGTTTCCGATCCAGTTACTAAAACACCCGTAGGTACGTCGGAGAAAATAAAATAGAAATGACAACGCAACTTGCTCGATTGAAGAGTTTTTAGACAAGAGAATAATGCAGATTAACGGGATGAAAACATTTACTTGAGCGACATAAAAACATATTTGTGTGTAAGTTTGGTAGTTTCCTAGCGAGACAATCGATATGTCACACATAACGACATACGTTCAAGAATTATTATACATAAGTCTGTATGTGTGTGTGTGTGGGGGGGGGGGGGTGAGGCCATGCCCAGAAATAATGCTGCAAGTCACGTTTATTGGCATTTTCCTCTACATCGTGATCATGTCATGAACAAGACCAGTTATTGTGAAACGGACACGACACCGATCACCGAGAGCTACTTTGGAAATACCTACCGTCACGATGCATACCGTGGCCTGACGGCGGTCCGTCTGATGTGTCTGTCCGTGTCTGACCGTCCCGATCTGCGGCCAGATCATGGTCTGTTTGTGCCTGCCCGTCTCTACATTCGCTCAGATAATGTGTCTGCAGTATGCGCCTGTCCGTCTGTATATTTGCGCAGATAATGTGTCTACAGTATGCGCCTGCCCGTCTCTACATTCGCTCAGATAATGTGTCTGCAGTATGCGCCTGTCCGTCTGTATATTTGCGCAGATAATGTGTCTACAGTATGCGCCTGCCCGTCTCTACATTCGCTCAGATAATGTGTCTACAGTATGCGCCTGTCCGTCTGTATATTTGCGCAGATAATGTGTCTACAGTATGCGCCTGCCCGTCTCTACATTCGCTCAGATAATGTGTCTACAGTATGCGCCTGTCCGTCTGTATATTTGCGCAGATAATGTGTCTACAGTATGCGCCTGCCCGTCTCTACATTCGCTCAGATAATGTGTCTACAGTATGCGCCTGTCCGTCTCTACATTCGCTCAGATAATGTGTCTGCAGTATGCGCCTGTCCGTCTCTACATTCGCTCAGATAATGTGTCTACAGTATGCGCCTGTCCGTCTGTATATTTGCGCAGATAATGTGTCTACAGTATGCGCCTGCCCGTCTCTACATTCGCTCAGATAATGTGTCTACAGTATGCGCCTGTCCGTCTGTATATTTGCGCAGATAATGTGTCTACAGTATGCGCCTGCCCGTCTCTACATTCGCTCAGATAATGTGTCTACAGTATGCGCCTGTCCGTCTGTATATTTGCGCAGATAATGTGTCTACAGTATGCGCCTGCCCGTCTCTACATTCGCTCAGATAATGTGTCTACAGTATGCGCCTGTCCGTCTCTACATTCGCTCAGATAATGTGTCTGCAGTATGCGCCTGTCCGTCTCTACATTCGCTCAGATAATGTGTCTACGGTATGCGCCTGTCCGTCTGTATATTCGCGCAGATAATGTGTCTCTATGGGTCTGTCCGTCTCTACATTCGCTCAGATAATGTGTCTACAGTATGCGCCTGTCCGTCTGTATATTCGCGCAGATAATGTGTCTCTATGGGTCTGTCCGTCTCTTTGTTCGCTCAGATAATGGTTACGTCTGTCCCTGTCGTCTCTATTTTTCGCTCTATTTGTCTCTGCCTGTCCGTCTCTATATACGTGTATTCGCCGAGCTCTGATATATCTGCCGTACCCGGTCCGCAGAGCGCCGGCAGGAGGACTGTACCGACTGGCGGGACCGGACGGGAGACTGCGTCACCGCTTCCAACTGTCCGGCCATCCTCAGCATGATCAGGAACAGGCCCAGCTCGCAGGACATTCAGAACATCCGCAGCAGCATCTGTGGCTTCAAGGTGAGCCTGCGGCCCTTCCCGTGGCCCGACACGGCAGCGCCAGCGCGCGGGTCTGCGCTGTACTTTATACGCCTGAGTGTCATTTTATCAGGGGTGCTTTGTTGCATGTCTTATGGGTCCAAAAACATTGCGAGATCAATGCTATGCAATGTTGTTTGGTACAAAGGGACTTTATTCTGGTATCTGACGATCATCTAGTCTAGTGTATTTGTTTAATGTGCAATGTGCATGTATGAGCGACACAAATCAATGTTCACGTTTGTTGCAGGGTCGGATACCGCTTGTCTGCTGTGCTCATCGTGTGCCCGTCACCAAACCGCCGGTCCCCAGAAAACCGGTCACCGAACCGCCGGTGACCGAACCTCCTGTGACTGAGCCTCCGGTCACTGAACCTCCAGTGACTGATCCTCCTGTCACGGAACCTCCAGTGACTGATCCTCCAGTGACCGAACCTCCAGTCACTGATCCACCTGTCACCGAGCCTGTCACCGAGCCTGTCACCGAGGGACCCATAGCGACGCCCTCCCCAGAGCCTGTCTGCGACAACTGCACACAGGTCCACCCCAACAGGTGAGGACTGCAGAGTGGTTTATCTGATTCACTCAGCTCCGGCAATCGATAAAGCCGACCGTTACCGGGCCGATGTTTTGCAATGTTGCTAATTTTGCGGTTTTGTTCGTTTGTCGGTGACATGGCCTACTTACGCTGTTTAGCACAATGCCCGACTAGCGGTTCTATATGAAATATTAATGGTCGGTATTATCACGTAGCCCTTTTTAAAAAACGGTACGTACATACGTGTTTTATGTAGATATATTGGACAGGTACGTAGTAAAGAGCAAGTAGCATACGAATCTATTCAATTAGCAATTACATATAAATACGCGGACCGGTTTCGTCTATGAAAGACTTCTTCAGCGCTTTTTTTTGACGTTTTTTTTTTTTGACGTTATACGTTTTTGAAAAAAGCGCTGAAGAAGTCTTTCATAGACGAAACCGGTCCGCGTATTTATATGTAATTGCTAATTGAAAAGATTCGTATGCTACTTGCTCTTTACTACATACGTGTTTTACCGAGTCATATTCAACATTAGGCGTTTTTGACATTTGCTTCGTGTCGCTGTTGCAAGCAATTTTTGCTACACGGTCGGCATTGTAACGGTTGTGTGTTAGATGGTCGGTGTTATTAGAGACTTTCTGGTAAACGGTCGGGAGGTTTTAACGATTAACTGTTAGATGGTCGGTGCTAGTAACGGTTGTGCATTGAACGATCGGTGTTATCAGTGATTTGGTTAAACCGTTAGAGCTATAAACAGTTGTCAAACAGTCATTGCTACTAACGCCCATCTGTGAGACGGTTGGACTCGGTGTTACTCTCGGCTGTATTTAAACGATCGAAGGTTAAGGACTGCTTGTTATAGTAAAATATCGGAGGCGGACTTTGACGGTTATCTGTTAAAGGAAATAGTTCACTTTTTAACATGGGTTTTGAACTGGAATAGCAGTTCCGTAGCCTGGGCTGAGACGAGCATAAATCAGGAGCTTTTACAGCCCAACGATCACCCTAGGCAAAGATATTCTATTTCTCGTCCCGAAAAAGGTGTCGATGAGTGCCTTGCATATATTCGCATCCAGTATGAAAAGAGCATGGGTACCGAAAATTCTTAAGAAACTAGAGAAATTATCTACGAGAACTCTAGAGAAATTCTCGTACTGATCAATAAGGACATTCAGCAGCAGCAGATCGCCCAAATGCCGGTGGCCGCGATAATTTCTCTAGTTTCTGAAGAATTTTCGGGACCCATGCTCTTTTCATACTGGATCGCCTGTGCCTTACAGAAACTGAAAAGTTCTTCCTATATCAAAATATAGAAAATAATCTTTTGTTATAAATAGGTTTTATTTTCTTTGCTGATCATTTTGAACATAAAAAATCATAAATCCATTGCAAAAAAAATAATTTCGTGAAAGTGAATTATTTCCTTTAAACAGTCGGAGTCTCTGCGCCACTGACTATCACTTGTGTCCGTGTTTCAGACATCTGCTGCCGCAGGGAGACGGCACGTGCGGTATCATTCTGGCGGAGCGTATTGTCGGCGGCACGCTGGTCCGGATCGGCGGACACCCGTGGCTCGCTGCTCTGGGGTACACAGGTGAGCGGAACTGGGTGACACAGCGCACCCGCTGGGTGCACCGCTACGGGTGGTAGGATTTCTTTTTTCGTACGCTGATCGAAACACTTTAGCAGCACGATGAACGTCTAAACTGTGACTTGTGCCATCAAGTTAAATTAAGCTCAGCATGAACACACAAGCGTGCATTGCAAGCTCAACCGTCGCATATTCTATGCAATCTCGCATGCTGTCAGTTGTTGGCAGTTTTTCACTATCGAGCACTGTTTCCTGCCTGCTCCCTGCCCTGATCTGCTCGACGCCTGTTAGCTGCCCCCTCTCGCTGCCCTCTGTTCTCACTGGCCCGCCGCTGTCGCTGCTGCAGTGACCGGTACCTGTTAGCTGCCCCCTCTCGCTGCCCTCTGTTCTCACTGGCCCGCCGCTGTCGCTGCTGCAGTGACCGGTACCTGTTAGCTGCCCCCTCTCGCTGCCCTCTGTTCTCACTGGCCCGCCGCTGTCGCTGCTGCAGTGACCGGTACCTGTTAGCTGCCCCCTCTCGCTGCCCTCTGTTCTCACTGGCCCGCCTCTGTCGCTGCTGCAGTGACCGGTACCTGTTAGCTGCCCCCTCTCGCTGCCCTCTGTTCTCACTGGCCCGCCACTGTCGCTGCTGCAGTGACCGGTACCTGTTAGCTGCCCCCTCTCGCTGCCCTCTGTTCTCACTGGCCCGCCGCTGTCGCTGCTGCAGTGACCGGTACCTGTTAGCTGCCCCCTCTCGCTGCCCTGCCTGTTCTCACTGGCCCGCCGCTGTCGCTGCTGCAGTGACCGGTACCTGTTAGCTGCCCCCTCTCGCTGTCCTCTGTTCTCACTGGCCCGCCGCTGTCGCTGCTACAGTGACCGGTAAGGAGGAGGTGGAGTACCGGTGCGGCGGCTCTCTCATCAACAGTCGCTACGTGCTGACGGCGGCCCACTGCGTCACAAACCTGCCCACCGACTTCACCCTGTGAGTACCTACATTATAAATACTATAATATACACCGACTTCCCGCTGTGAATGGGCGGCGGCGCGAAGGCATGCATGCATCATTCATGCATCACAGAAGTTTTCATGAGTCTGCAGCGATTGTTCATTAGTAATGGAGAAGAGACATTGATATGAATCATATGCAGCAGTGATTTGGAATCGTTCCATTCAGCTAGAACAACTTTCTTACAACCAACAATCCTTTTCAGATCTACCATTCGTCTCGGCGAGCACGATCTCGACAATGAATTAGACTGTCAGGTGAGCCTCATTGGAGATAATTGCCGCTTTACTGAGCTGTCATACGGGCGAATAACATTTGAAAACGCTTTATTTTTCCTTATTAACGTAAAATAGTTGAACTAACGCATCACGTTACTTAGAGACTTCATAGTCCTTGATTATTGATGCATGAACGTTTTTCGCTTACAATCGTCATGGGTCCTACTTTGACCTCGCCTGACCTGGTCATGACCCCACTCCGATCTAAGACAAGGGTGCCTAATCCTTCAGTGACCAAGTGACCCGTCTGACCTATCAATGACCTTGCCTGACCAATCGGTGACCCTTCTGACCTGTCGGTGAGCTCGTCTGACCTTTCAATGACCTCATTTGACCTAACGGTGACCCTTTTGACCCTCAGCGTCTCAGCGACGGCATGCAGCGGTGTGCCGACCCGCCTCAGAACTTTGACATTGAGGAGGTCATCACTCATGACCAGTACGACTCACCCATCCGTCTCAGGAACGACATCGCGCTAGTTCGGCTGTCTCGGCCGGCCAACCTGACAAGTAGGTCGATCAGGGAACGGGTGTGACGGCACGGCTCGTTACGTTACAAATCGTAAGGTCAGGGAGGATGACGTTACGGCTCATAGCGCTAGGGACCGTGTTGTCACGAGGGAGCTGCAAAATAAGGCTCGAATATCGAATGTAATTAATGCATTTGCGTCCGATGTTTACCAGGATTAATCGATAAATATAATTGTTTCACACCAGAGGGTAATGCTCATATAATGGATGTATGTTATAAATAGCGGGTCAAAAGGCATTAGACATACGGCTACCTCGGAGACAGCATTGGAATTGGTACGGTACTAATAAGTAATTACATTGACTTACATTATTATATATAAGCGGCGTCTGCTCATTTATTTCTGCTCATTACTAACTGAAGTCAGTGCGATATCATCATTCCAATGAAGGGGCCCAAAGGGCAGCCAAACTATAGGTTAGGCACTTGATCCAAACTATGACTCGTATTCTACATATGGCATGAATGATAGACGGCTCACTGATGAAACCAGTTTTACGCTCGTGTTAATCAAGCCTCGATGCGTTATACTACAACCGCTCATACCGCTGAACTCTGAAGTTGGTCTGATTTCGACCGGTGACTGACCGCACTCTGTGGTGTGTGTGTCCTCTCTGCAGCGTTTGTGTCTCCCCTGTGTCTGCCGATCGACCGGCGGCTGACCGTATACTCTGTGCCCTCTCCGCAGCGTTTGTGTCTCCCCTGTGTCTGCCGTTCGACCGGCGGCTGACCGTATACTCTGTGCCCTCTCCGCAGCGTTTGTGTCTCCGCTGTGTCTGCCGTTCGGCCAGCGAGAGGAGCAGTTTGTCGGAGAGCGTCCGTGGGCGGTCGGATTCGGACTCACCTCTGCACGTGAGTGTATAAACAGGCGGCCCGGGTAGTGAGTGGACCTATACCCTGAGTGGACCGGACGGCCGGAATATTTACCGACTGCACTTGGCCAGAATGCAGCATTCATGGTGAAACGTAATGTATCTGCCTTTTATTTCTGGTCTTTCAGTGTGATCTTTACTTGAGTGACGTTAATAATATTGATTGTGCCTTCATATTTACGATGGTGTTTTTTTACCACGTGACGGTTAACTTTGCTATAGTAAAGTGACATATATATATATATTTTTTACACGATAAGTTCAATCTGTTGCTGGTCATTGTCTGTAAGACTTTTTGTATTCTTTTTATCGTTATCGGGAATTTAAAGCCTAAGTTTTTATTAGTTACTTCGGGACTTCATATTACTTTCGCTGCCAGGGCACCGTAACGTTTTACTGAAAGTGTTTATCTATCAAGGGCCTTTGAATGCAATATCTTCAATGACAAGTATATCTGATCGAAACGAATTTGGCCTTAGGCCACAATGTGATACGACGGTATGCTGACCATCTCAACTGCGCCCAAAAAAGGCACGCATTACCTGTGTTCGATAACACATTATATCTACTTGACGTCTATCTCAGCAACTGGGACCGGTTATGTGCATCTTCGATGCACGTACTCGTAGCCCATTTCCTGCGCGCAAAAAATAAGAGCCAGCCCATTTCCAGTTTCTTGTCTACCTCAGCCAGATGCGCACATCCCTCGGCCGTCCATTTTGAGGGAACGTTTCCATGTGATGTGGTTCTCTCCAGACCTCGACAACGCCAGCGGGTGGGTGGTGAATCTCCTCGCGGCCCACTGGGCCCTTCCTGCGTCTCCTGCTCACCACCCAGCGGACGAGGTGCTCGAGCACCGCCACCACGGCGAACAGCGAGGCGCCCGTCACCACGCCGACAAAACCGCCGATGTTGGCCAGCAGGGTGGCCTCCTTCATGGCCAGGCTCTCCTCGACGCGCTCGGCCAGCAGGTCGACCTGCAGCTTCACGTAGACCAGACACGTGTTCAGGGTGGAGCTGCCGAGACTCAGCTGGTCGGAGCGCAGGTGGTAGGTGTCCTCACTGCAGGCGGCGGGGCACTCACAGTCGGCCAGGGAAGATAATAGTTCATTTGGCACGAACTGCTCGGCGGTGTCGCTTCTGCGAACCGTTGGCAAGGGTGGTGCTACCGGTGGCGGCGGCAGCGGCGGCGGCGGCGGCGGTGGTGGCGGCGGCGGCGGCGGCGGCGGTGGTGCCGTGTTTTCACCATCAATCAGTCGTTCGCTGCTATACCGCAGAGAGCCGGAATGATTCTCTGGTCTTCTTGCCGCCTCCCACTGTGCATACCCGTGGTTCCACTCGAAGCTGAGAGGACAGCCTTCAGTGTTGCCGGCCCCGACAAACAGATTACCGCCCTGGTAAGCGTCTAGCTGGACCAGCCGTCGACAGGCCGGCAGGTGGTCTAAGGGGCCGCTCGTTTCGGGCAGATACACCCCGACGGAGACCATGTGCGGCAGCCGACAGCCGGTGTGCGCCGCCAGCCGCCGCCACTGGCACTCCTTCAGACAGCGCGCCGGCGAGTAGCCCGGCTCCGAGCGGCACGGCCGGCGGCGCACGTTGGCCAGCCGCCGCTGACGAGATGTCACCTGGTAGATGACCACCCCGCCGCCGGGCGGCACCGGCACGAACGGCGTGCGCGGGTACTCGCCGCCGCGCGCCAGGTCGCCGACGCTGGGCTCCTCGGGGCCGTGCACGTACAGACGGTAGGTGCGCCGTCCCTCGCCGAACATACCCATCTCATCTCCGCCGTGACGTTTGAAAAACGGCACCGGCACGCGCAGCACCAACTCGACGTCGACGGTGCCATAGCTGCGGAACCCGTGCAGGCGATCGCTGGGCTCGAAGGTGACGCAGCGCAGCGGCGTCAAACCGAGACCGTCGTACTCATTGGACAGGTAGTAGCGCTCTCGCCAGGCGCCGAACTGCCCCTCGCCGGGGATGGCGACCTCCCGATCATTCCAGCTCTCACCGGTGGCCAGTTCACCCAGTACCCTCATGACGTTCAGCTGGAAGTCTCTCATGTCGAGCGTGCTGCGCCGATAGTACTCTGCCACGGAGAGGTTTCCGGCAGCCATCTGCCGGTACAGCTCCAGCATCAACGGGTCTCTCATCTCCCCCTCGGGACAGAGCGTGAGCCGGGGGAAGGCGGCGCGCCACCGGGTCATGGCGGAGAGCACCGGCTGCGCGCGGTACTCGAGCGCCTGCAGATAGACCAGGAACAACAGCAGCACCAGGAGGGCGCCGCGGGCCACCAGCGGCGCCACGAGCCGCCGACCGGTGGCCGGTGGCTGGTCCGCAGCGCCCGCCATAACGGGTGGCGACCGGCGCGGCTCTGGCGGCGGCTCGTCAGTGGCCGCCGACGCCGCCCTGTACAGTGTACACCAACACCGCGCACTATCGACCGTCGGCCGCATCGGGCCCGGTCTTCGAGGTCTGCAGGGGCCGTGAAAAAGTCAGCTGGGATCCAATGTGGCACACCAATACCACGAGGCGCCCAGGACATTAACGGCCTTTGGGACAGGCACCCAGGTTCACCAATAAATGACAGCAATATTTCTACGCCAGTCGACGACCTCAATACCCGACCAGATATATGATCCGATAATGGGGCTATTATTCCTGCATAAATAACAATTTACATAGGACATGAAACAGAGGATAAAACAATTAAGTGTGGTAAAAATATAACAACCGACACTAAGCCTACACCTCGACCTTTCCTGTCGCACGATTTGAAACTGAATTTAATTTCCTACACATCGATAAAAAGAAATACGAGAAACACGTCTATCGAAACATTTACTGACGTTTTGGTGAAAAAGTATTTCATTGAACCAGGTTAAACGATTTTTTTTTTTATATGTAGCATTAGGCAGCTTCAGCACTAACCCACCCGTTCACCGTTCTCCCGTCTCGACCCGGTCTGACCTGACCCGACTCGAGCTGACCTGACTCGACCTGACCTGACCTGACCCGGCCTGCCCGACCCGTTGTGCACCTTCTGACCCATCTCTGATCTCCTCTGGGCAGGCGGCGAGAGCAGCTCCAAGCTGCTGGAGGTGCGCCTGCCGGTGCTGTCCCACGAGGAGTGTGTGCCCATCTTCCGGCGGCGCGCCAACATCGGGCGCACGCAGCTGTGCGCCGGCGGTGAGCGGCTCAAGGACTCCTGTTCGGGAGACTCGGGCGGACCGCTGGTGGGACTCTCCATGCCCGGCCGCCGGCTGCCGTTTGTCCAGATCGGAATCGTGTCGTTCGGCTCTGTGCGCTGTGGGACGAGGAACGTGCCTGGGATCTACACCCGTGTCACGGAGTACCTGGACTGGGTGCTGGATAATCTGAAGGAATAGGACACCGGCGGACCGGCGAGCGCTGCTGGACCACCGAGACTTGAAGCGAAGTTCAGGAGAGTTAGGCGAATATGTGGCCTGTAACTGCGGCGACAATTTCGCTGACAGCCCGTGACCTCGACGGTTTTGTTGAGTGTCGCAGGAGCTGATGAGGGCAATAAACGTTCAATTGTGTATTACTCTGGAAGGCAGCGAGCGACTGATACCTGCTGAGGTGATCGTACGGTGTCATGTGTCGTTGATTTATGAATGTTTTACATACAGCAATGCGACCCGCGTGAGTGACGAAGTACGTGAGACGGGATGCACCCGAATATTATGCCTCCAATCACATAATGACGTGAAAGTGCATGGCCTGTTGAATAATATACATCTTCCAGTCTCTTATTACCTGTCTCTGGCATACCTACTCGGTCTATTCCAACATATAACATATCCATTATCCATGCTAACAACATTCTTATGGCTGAAACAAACTCTTTCCGCGTTCAGGAAATCGCGGTGCGAGAGCCTATTCAAATACATTATAATTCTTCCCGCATCAATCGCATCCGGGAGGTGCGTGCGATTGATGCGAGCGTGCTTCCATGTATTTGAATAGGCTCTCGCATGCGATTTCCTGACTGCGGAAAGAGTCTGTTTCAGGCATACCGCATAAACGTACATCTATATTACTAAATCGACTGTAGACGTTCTACGAAAAACTAAATTCTGGTGAAAGCATGCCTAGCTGGATAGAACACACAAAAAATGGCGTTTTGAATATATCTCTTCGTTGTTAAATAGTACATGTTTTTGTAGATGTTTTCACCTTTCATACCGTTACTGAGCACCAGTTTACTCGGCAACCGTTTCACTAAAACGGTAAACGTACAAAAGCGCTGCTTACAATAACAAGGAGCAAACTTTTCATCAATCAGTCGCGGTGAAAGTGAAAGCATCATTGAGGAGAATAAGCAGCAGAGGATAAAATAAGACCCGGCTTTATGTGCCTGAAAATTCCTCACAAAGCAATACGAGATAGCACCATGCATTGGTAACCTGTCTGCTTAAAAAGGGTGTTTTACGAACGTTTAATCAAGAAATGCCTCGAATGTTGACAACTGCTTCGAAAGTCTCTTTATCCGCCTATGAGTATTTTACCCGTAATGTTAATGTACCTCACCGCCAGGTGACAGTAGTGAGGAGCCGAGCTGCCCGGCTCCCACCACCAGGTGGCGCCCTGTTCGACGTAGCCGGGCAGTCGTCCCCTAGGCCCTAGCCGTCCCTCCCCTGCAGCACACACCGATCAGACCTTACAATCATCTCCGCTCCTCGATGCTCGGAGAGTCAGCTGTCGAAGCAGTCAATGCCCATGTGAACTGTCAACGCCTGGACGCAACGAAGGTTTCGTTTCGTGATTCATTTCGCCACATAAGGTTACCTAAACATATGTTTGTCAGCTCTTTTTTCAACATAACCACAGCCCACTCACTCTTTCGGACCGATCTTTCTCCTTTTTCCTACTTAATGGCTGCTCTCACTCCACATCCGGCGTTATACGTCCATTTTTTCCTCTCTCATGGCCTCCCCTCCTCCCCTCTCCCCACTCCTCCACTCTGTCAGAGGCGGGCACGTGACGGTCAGCGCGAGCACGAGACAGCTCTGTTTGTCCCCTGGCGAGCAGACGTCGTCGGCTGCCCCCCGTCGAGATCATGCTCCGTAATCACCTCTGCTTCATTAATCAATTACGGGAGCTCCGGTGGGCGCCGCGCCGGGCCGATCTCGGGGCGTCCCGCGGTGAGGGCGCCCGTCCAGTGTCGCCGGCTGATGGGCGCCTCCCAGTGGGTCCGCCTCCTCAGCAGCCCCTGACAAATGGGCGCCTGATCGGCCGGCGGGGCGCCTCCCAGGTGAGCCGGGAGGGCCGGGAGGGGCGGCAGGGGACGACAGGGCACGGACGGGAGCCCGGCCAGAGCCGTGGTCAGTCGGCTGGATGCGGCCGCAGCGAGTGGAGGGGGGAGCGCGTGTCCAGTGGACGGTCGAGCACTCGGACACGATGCCGGCCGGCAGTCGGCTGGCGCTCGGCTGCCTCGTGTTCAGCCTGTGCGTGCTGCTCTCGGAGGCGTATCTGTTCAGTTTGCTGCTCTCGAACCCTGTGGTGCCGACGGACTCGGTCGGGGGCGCCGGGCCGGACCGGGCCGCCAGTGACAGTGACCTCAGGTCAGGTGAACCAGTGCGGGCCGCCAGTGAGTCGGTGGGCGAGCTGAGGACGCGGGCCGCGGGCCGATCGGAGACCGAGCTGGATCTCGATTTGGACCTGGAGCTGGAGCTGGGTCTGGACCTGGGTGTGACCTCTGTCGGTCCCGGAGGTGAGGGAGGCGCCGAGGACCAGGATCTGAACCGACCCGCCGGTCGCCGGCGGTTCAGCGCTTCCCTGGTACCGCGGCACAGTGCCAGGCTATCCGAGGATAGTGCTACTGAAGAGGACAGTGCCAAACTCCTGGCCGAAATGGTAAGTAGCGATGTTGGGTTGCGGGTTGCGGGTTATACCGGCTACAGCTTCAGAATGCTGTTGCCGTTACCGGTATAATGAAAGAGGCATTTACATTACGCATCGGGTTTTCTATAGTTTACTTTTCCCGAATCGGAGTGAAATAATTCAACGCTACACGTTCATAAAACACTTATATGGCTTGTTTTTTAGCATTGCTCCTTGGGCGCTTACTCGGTTTTGTTTTCACATAGATGGACTTCGTGGGATGGGAGGAAGGAAGAAGGAAGTAATTAATCCGAGCATGTTTAAACGTAAATGTTGCAGTATGCTGAATACGTCATAAGCAAAATTTTTAATGACCGACTGTTCACTTACCTATAACCATTGAAACAATAGTGGTAATTTTTAAATGGGCAAACAATACTACTGTGCATCGGGTTATCCAGCTGACTCCCTGCAGCACCATTGGTGCGTGATTCACCGTACACGAATTAAGCTGCATTTATTGGCGTGAGAATCTCTGGTCACGGGCATTTACACTGGGCTGTCAGTAAGCTGACAAGTCGGTCCTCATCGCCTTGTAACCTGTCATGTAATTTTCTTGCCAGCGCCAAAGCGGCTTAGGCTATCCCACGGATAAGCTATCCGTCCCGGCAGACGGGCAGACCTCGATCAGTATCTGTACGGTGGGCGCGTGCTGCCCCGAGGGATTCTGGAGCCCGGTCTTTTCCCTTCTTATTGATAGCAAACGTGGTTACTGTCGAGAAAAGTTGTATTGACGTTTGAATTCCCTACCTGTTACATGCACTGGAGGAAGATAATCGCCTGAGTCCGGCAATGGCCGAAAAGGTGCATTGCTAGACGAAAAATGGCGAATGAATTGTAAACGGCACCATTTTCGAATACGGATAACCGTGAGAGCGAAATGAATTGGACCTGAGAAATAGAGTATAATATTTCACTGTTCCTACATAAAACATATTTGAAAGTTTCGTTTCCTTTTTATCGGCGTCCAGATGAGAGCTCAAGCCAGTTTAAAATTAGAACGTTTGCTTCATTTGATTTTATCGAAAACTAAGAAAAAAGGAGAACCAATCGACAGAACCATTATTTTCAAACGTTCTGGGGCTATGTCCTCATCAGGTCACTACCGAGATCATAAAAGGTCATCAAATATATATTTAGGTACTTCAACCTTCTTGGAAACAAAGCGTTGCATAAATCGCATACCTAAACAGCTAAGACGTCGCTTAAAAACGTGATTGCCAGTTCTTTTTTTTCGCTAGTGTTCTCTCCGATGAGTCTCACTTGATTGTTTATTGGTTCAGGAGTTTTCGGCAGAGGGCATTAAACGTCCCCTCCCCCCCCCCCCCCCCCGAAAGCGATGCCCGGAATATGCTAGCATCTGCAGGGCTGACGTTTTGCCTTTTGAGCGCTCACATAAACTGGACCCTATATCCAATGCCGTTTTACTTGTAATTTGACCAGTGATGTGACCTGACCGGTGACCCGACAGTGGTAACCTGACCACTGGCACCGTCGGTAAAAAACGATCTGATCAGTGACCGGACTGGTAACCTGAACGGTAGCATGGTCATTGAGCTGAATGATCTGATCAGTGATCTGACCAGTGTCTTCATCTATGACCTGACCTGTGACCTGACCTGTGACCAGGGTTGTATACCAATCAAGTCGATTGAATTGATTGATTTGTTTCAACGCGTATTTTGAGTTGATTGGATTGAGTCGATTGACTTTTCGAGATGACTGGTTGACTGACTCGTTTGACTTTAGCGACTGGTTGACTGATTTGATTCCCAAAAATTAGAGTGACTCGTATGATTGAGTCGATTGAATGGAAAGTTCAAATGTTTTAGTTGACGAAAAATAATGACACCAATTGATGACATCAAAGATCACAAAACTACACTGAAAACTGCTTGTCATCACAACTGCAAAATGGGGTACATGGCCAAATAAAGAACAGGGCCTAAACATGAACAGCCAACTTTGACTTTCAACTGCAATAACTGCTCCAATCCTGGTGATAGAACTTTTCGATGCACCTACCTACCTTTCTGCACTCAGCAGGAAACTTTTTTTTAAAATCCAGATGATAAAGTGCAAGGCCCTATATACTAATAAAGTGTGATTAATTAATAATTCACATCTCCACATCTCCTCAGAAACAACCCACTGAACTCTATAAATATCTGAAACCCTGAAACCCCTACAAAAATAACTGAAACAAAAGCGCCGTTTTCGTCTCGCTAATTACGTTTCTGTACCTAATTAATAGCTAATTTGCTGCATTGTTTAATTTGCAGCAGAACGTTTGTTGATCCTTTTCTCCTGAGAGCCTAAGCATAACATATTTGATATATTTCATTTTCCTTAAAATATTTTACCGAATATTATTAAGTGGTTTTATTTCAAATGAAATAATAATTGAAACGAAATTGGTGTTGTACAACCGATTTATTTTATGATGATCTACCATACTACATGATAATCAATGACGTCATCTTACCAAAAAATCAAAAGACGTAGAATAAGGATTTATAAAAGGCTAGCATACTTATTGGCAAAACGTTTTCTCGCACCGTGCCGTTTTCGCGTTTTAATTTTCCTCGTTCCTGCTTCCTTTGTCCTTAACTTATCCTGTGGTTCCAGAGTCCCTGTCCTCTCCATTTCCTTTTAAATATATTTTTAATCCTCATCCCTATCCCCCAGTCCTAACAGTTTCAAAATTTGTATTGCAATAATTTTTTTTTTTTGAATTCTTCACATAGGTACCTAGCATTGACATGCCACGTTCAGAGTCGTGGACCGCTAAATACTTCAAATATCTTCTTTCTTAATCTGACAACATCCCACGTCTCAAATGCACATTGTGTGGAAAGATTTTTCAGGCTGCCCGTCAGTCTCTGTCTAACCGAAACCGTCACATGCAGCCTGCAGGTAAGATATTTATTTCTATTTCCCTATGGTTAATATGTTATTTATGCATATTATCCATTAAAATACACATGGTGTAGGTTAAATGGCCAAATCACGAACACTGCCAAAATCTGAGCAGCCAACTTTCAACTGCAATATCTGATATTTAGTGTAAATGGAGTTGGAATATGGCCAAAATTAAATTGACAACTTTTAGGTGAAAGGTGGTGATTTGGGTTAAGGGGCGAGTCGACTACTGGGTTATTTTGCACCCATTAAATGAAACTTCTGCTCCAATTCTACCCATTGAACCTCAATATCATGATCCACCTGTCCATCACTAGGTATCCTTCCTAATTACATAGAAACTTTGAATGGCATGGCAATTTATAATTTTAAATGACAATATTTTTATGTTTCTTCTGTAGGTAGGTAGGTAGGTAGGTAGGTAGGTACATCAGACTGCTATGGACACTTTTCCAAGTTGGTGGGGCAAAAAACCTAATGTATGTCTTGGTTTGAGTCGTTTGATTGAGTTGATTGATTCCTTTTATTGTCGCGTTTGAGTCGATTGAATCGATTCCCGAAAACTGCTCTGACTTGATTGATTTGATTGGTTTCCCAAATTTGTCGTGATTGAATTGATTGCTATTGATTGAGTCGTATACAACCCTGCCTGTGACCTGACCTGTGGCCTGATAACCTGTGACCTGATAACCTGTGACCTGACCAGTGACCTGACCTGTGACCTGACCTGTGACCTGACCTGTGACCTGACCTCTGTTTCAGATGGCCTCGGAGCGCTCCAGTGAGCGGAGCTGTCTGTCGGACCAGGTGTGTGGCCGCGGCAGGTTTTGTGACTCGGAGACTGGCACGTGTCAGCGGCGCCGGCGGCCCGGCCAGCCGTGCTCCCGGGACGGCCAGTGCCGCGGCCGCAGCAGCTCCTGTACACTGGGTCACTGCCAGAGGCGACAGCACAAGGAGAAGAAGGAGCTGGGTACGTCGCACGGGATGGAGGGGGAGGGGGAGGGGGCGGGAGTGAGGGAATGGTGCGAAGGGGGTGTGAAAACAGTGCCATGTTTTTGGAACGTCTATATTTGTCCCGTACTTTGTTCTGTATTCCCTATGTCTGTTTTTTTGTTTTCCCGCTTTCGGCGTAGTTTGTTTTGTGAATATCTAGTCCATGGCTTGGCCATCGCTGATTCGTGTTTATTCAATCCGTATCTTCCGCGGTCTGATTATTCTCTAATCTATCGTGCCTGTCTCTGACCCGCATCTGACCCGTCTTCGACTAGTATCGGACCCGTCTCTGCCTGGTTTCTGACCCGTCTCTGTCCAGTGTTGGACCCGTCTCTGTCCAGTATCTGACCCGTCTCTGACTTCTGTCTGACCCGTCTCTGACCGTCTCGTCCCGTCTCTGACCGTCTCCTCCCGTCTCCTCCCGTCTCTGACCGTCTCTGATCGTCTTCCCCCGTCTCCGCCGGCAGTGTCCGAGTGCCGCTCGGACACCGACTGCGACTCCGACTCGTGCTGCGCCCGTCTCAGCTCTGGGACCGTGTGTCGGCCCCGCACCCCGGTCGGCCAGCGGTGTCAGGCGCTGCCGGCCAACCTGCCCGTGCCCATCTACGCCACCTGTCCGTGCGAGCGGGGGTCAGCGTGTAAATACGTCCACAGACCAGGGTGAGTAACTTCACATTAATGCTGTGCTTAAGAAAAAAGTTGCAAATGAATGAATGAATGAATGCATGAATGAATGTATGAATGAATGAATGAATGAATGAATGAATGAATGAATGAATTAATGAATGAATGAATGAATGAATGAATGAATGAATGAATGAATGGATGGATGGATGGATGGATGGATGGATGGATGGATGGATGGATGGATGGATGGATGGATGGATGGATGGATGGATGGATGGATGGATGGATGGATGGATGGATGGATGGATGGATGGATGGATGGATGGATGGATGGATGGATGAATGAATGAATGAATGAATGAATGAATGAATGAATGAATGAATGAATGAATGAATGGATGGATGGATGGATGGATGGATGGATGGATGGATGGATGGATGGATGGATGGATGGATGGATGGATGGATGGATGGATGGATGGATGGATGGATGGATGGATGGATGGATGGATGGATGGATGGATGAATGAATGAATGAATGAATGAATGAATGAATGAATGAATGAATGAATGAATGAATGAATGAATGAATGGACGAGTGAAAGAGGGAACGAACGAACGAACGAATGAACGAACGAACGAACGAACGAATGAACGAACGAACGAACGAGCGAACAAACAAATGCTGATGGAATGGATGAACGAAAGATCAAACGATTGATGGTAAAAACATGAGCGAATGAATGAATGAGTGAATGAATGAATTAACGAGGTTATTCATAAATTCAAACGGTGAAGACTATGAATATCTTATTGACTGTTGACGAATGGTATGCCGTTGCCGTTTAATTATTTAGATATTGCGGCATAATTTGATCAGCATGTTTCCTAAACGTAATCCAAATACCTAAAACAATTTTCGTGCCTACGGCTATATGTCACCGTTTAGTTTCGGGACAAACCGTATATACCTATTACTTCTTTCGAATCATTTGGCAGATGGTCATTGATGATTAATTCGCGCAGTTTGGCCTCGCGCAAAATTTGTCCCTTATGTCATATGACATGTGAAAACGACATTGCTGAACTGCTCCATGCTGACAGCTTGTTTCGTCTGTTTCAGGGAGGACTGGACATTATGGACAGCTTATGACAACCTGAGGTGTGTTCGAGATTAGACGGGTTACCTGAGGCGTTCGCCGGTGAATCTTATGGATTTCGAGACGCCCCATCTAGTCATGTTGTGCCGGCGCTGCTCCGAGCAGCCAAGTGATAGATCTGCGCCAATTCGCCAGAGGATATGCGTGTTTGTGTTATGAGATTTTTATCAGTGACATTGGAAAGTGTACCTATTGTTTTGACGCGCCAAGCTGGCTGTACTGATGTTTTAAGGTGATGTGAGCATGCCCATGGTGAGCACAGAAATATAATGACCGGACAGTTACGAGTTGTTTTATAGTAAATTCGAGAATATGTGCGAACGCAATACAACTACAAATACAAACGCGCTGCCGCGCAGGAAAGCCTAAACAAAGGCTCACTCGAGTAATAGGCATGCTTGCATCATTGCATGCGGGAGGTCACTAATGCCTACATGCATAAATAATTTATTTATTTATTTCATTTATTTCACATAATCCGGTCATTCCACAGTACAGGGCTATTCATAGACCGTCGTCATACATGATAATCACACACGGTAACACTGGCGGATCCAGGGGTTCAGCGCGGGGGGGGGCATACCAGGTCACGGAGCCAAACCTAGGGTACCCCCAAATCCTGTTTTCTCATCGGATTTAGGCCACTTATTTTTCGTCATAGCCCTGACACGAGTTTTTTTTCTAAAAAAAAAAAAAAACAGAAATGGTAGGACACCTGACCCCCATTGGCAGATCCAGGAGGAGGAGGCATTTGGGACAAATACCCGGGCAGCGCCAGAAATCGACGAAAATTGGTGGGGCCGTTGGGGCCCTCAGCCCCTCAGAATGACTGGTGTATAGAGCCGACCCAGGGCTGCCGGTGTGGAACCTTAAGAGGTGCTAGCGTGGGACCATCAAAGGTATCGGTGTGGGTTCCCCAGAGGCAGTGGTGTGGGGCCCTCAGAGGCACTGGTGCAGGAACCACAAAGGAGCCCGTGTGGGCCCTCTAAGGTGCTGGTGTGAGGCCCTCACATGGACGTCGTTGTGGTGCCTCAGACACTGGTGTGGCGCTAAGCCCACACCATTCACAGATGGCTGTGTGTGGGGCCCTTGGAGTTGTTGGTGCGAAATGCGAATGCTTAATAACCCAGTAGGACCTCTCAGAGACCGACAAAGGGCCCTCAGAGGCCGGTAACAGGCCGTATGATGTCAACAATGGGCCTTCACAGGCCGGCAAGTGTCTTCAGGAGCCCTGTGGAATCCTTAGAGATCGGCATGGTACTCTCAGACGCCGGTGGGGCCCTCATAGTCACCGGTGTAGGACCTACAGAGTTACCGGTGGCTGGCTGCCAGAGGCACTGGTGTGGGGCCCCAGAGGCGCCGGTGTGGGACCCTGAGAGTCGCCGATGTGGGCCTCAGGAGACACTGGTGTCTCAGAGGTGGCGGTGTAAGGCCCTCAGACGCGTCTGTGTGCCCTCACAGTCGCCGGTGAAGACTTTCAAAGGCATCGTTGTGGGAGTCCTCACTCCTCAGAGACACATGCATGGGGGCAAGGGGTCTTCAAGAGACCAGCAAGGGCCAGCAGAGGGTTTCAGGAGCCTTGCGGGATTCTGGAGACCGGCGTGGTACTCTCAGGCGTCACTGGGAGCCCTCAGACTCACCAGTGTGGGGCCCACAGAGTGCAGGTAGGTAGCCGTCAGATGCGCCTGTGAAAGACCTTCAGAGGCGCCAGTGTGGGGCCCTCAGAGCCGCCGCCGATGTAGGGCCTTAAGAAATATTGGTGTTAGTCCCTCAGATTGGCGGTGTTGGGCCCTCAAAGGCGCCGGTGTAAGACCCTCACAGGCGCCGTTATGGGCCCTCAGAGACACTGGTGTGGAACTGTGGAGCCGTTCCATGCGGGTATGGGCCAGGACCCTAATTAGAGCTGACGCTTAATAGGTCAGCAAGGTCACTCAGAGGCCAGCACAGGGCCCTCAGAAGCCGGAGTGGGGCCCTTATGGAGATGTGTGATGTGTGATGTGACTCAGGAGCCCGTGACTCTGTGAGGTGCCCTCACGAGGCCTGCGGGTCTTATCTCAGTCGAAATAAGGCACGCTTGGACCCTGAGCGGCCAATTGGCACTGCAGGGTCTCTCGGGCCCATAGGGCACCATGCATCTAATGAGGCGGCACGCGCCCCTTGTGCCCCCCCCCCCCTGGTTACGCTGCACTGGCTGCGGCCATACAGGTAAATCATATTCTAACCATCCCTATTCCCAAGCATAGGCGGCGGCCGATTCCTGCATGATTTGCGCAATATGAGTGCCATCGTTAGACAATACGGTCAAAAGGGTTGAAGCGGCATGACTCCCTGTGGTTAGAACTAAGAAGCAGCATATTTTTAGACAAAATAAAGCAATGACAACTAAATTGAGGTTACTAAAACCAGTGGCGCGGGAACCGGGAGGGGGGGGGGGGGACTAGCGGGGGCTGAGCCCCCCAGCCGAAAAGCTGGGGGGGGGGGGGCTCGTAATGTATTTGAGCCTCCCCCCCAGCTGGAGGAATCGAAATCGGAAATCTACCAACATACCTAATTTCATAGATTCATACATAGGCGCGGGAACCGGGGGAGGGGGGCAATGGGGGAAGCTTGCCCCCACAATTCTGCGGCCGTGGGGGCGGTCCACACAACTTTTGATGAGGCCAGGAACCGTTGGGCAGCTTGTCCTTCCCAAATTAGGGGTTGTGGGTCACATAGGAAGAAAGCATGTAAGTGAAAAATCCACCTCTTTCACTGGCTCGGCAACTCATTTGACAGATTAAAACCTTTATTCCAGGTTGCCAGAACGGTAGTTTCTTCACTCAGCTGAGACGGAAAGACTCACTTTTTGCATTTTTTCGTTTTTTTTTTTTGTTGTTGTTGTTGTTGAAAAGACCAAAGTCTGAAAAATAAGTGGCCTAAAACCGGTGAGAAAACTAGATTTGGGGGTACCCTAGGTTGATCTCTATTATGGTTCAGCCCCCCCAGTCTTGAAGAAGTTCTCGCGCCGCTGACTAAAACGACTCTGATCACAAAAGTAGTTACTAGGAAGGCTTTCTAAACCATTTTTATTTAGTTCCTCGTTATAGGCGTAAGAAGTGTAAGTCTGAACGGGGGGGGCATACTTGTACTGAATGCCCTCCCCAGGCTCCTGTCGGGGGGGGCATATGCCCCTAATGCCCCCCCCTGGATCCGCCAGTGCTGACGGTAAATTGCGGCACGAACCTGGCGTTTAAGCATGCGTATTGAAGTGACATCGATGTTTTCACTGATAACGAATTGGTTGTAAAGGCTAGCGGCACGATATGTAAAAAGTCTCTTTCCATGGTTGTTATGAGCACGTCCAGGGTTCAAGTGATCTGACTGTCGAGTTGTACGATGGATGGTCTCATGATTGTATGAAAGACTAGATCGAATTGCACATGGTTCACCGCTCGTCAAAATCTTATGAAGCAAACATATGTCAGAGAATTTCACAAACTGTTGAGCATCTAGCCATTCCAAATCGCGAAGTACATCAGATATGTGATCGTATTTGCGGCGGCCTGACAGTACTCTAGCGGCGAGATTAAACACTTTTTGTACTTTCGCAATCACAGTCAGGTTAGCACTGCCATAAACTTGTACACAATAGCGGATATGTGAAAACACGAGCGCGTCGATCAGGCGAGGTAAGACATCAGGTGGTAAGATATGTTTAGCATGTGAAAGAGCAATGAGTATACCTATACATCGGCTGGTAACACGAGTCACATGCAGATCCCAGGATAGAGTCTGATCCATGATTACGCCGAGGTTCTTAACGCTGGATGAACATTGAAGCTCCTGGTTCATGAAACGAATTGTGGGATAATAAAACGGCACCAAGTCATTCGATCAGCACAAAACGCATATACCATGGTGTTACCGTTTAAAAATGCCACCGGCTGCAGGCTGTGATTTCGAAGATATGACGCCCAGCACACCCAGTTTATCGGCGGCTAAATGGTCCACTACAAATCATCCACTGGCCCTCCCGGCGCGGGCGCGCAGACCACTCGGCTGTTCGCTGACCGTCATTATCAGCTGGTAATCGGCGGACCCCCGCGGGCGGAGTGGTGCGACAGTTCCGGCGCAGAAGGCTCGTGTAACGGCGCGGCAGCTCGCGGGCCCGCTGGCACAGCCCGCGGTCACCTCACCGCGCGTGGTCGCAGTCGGGGGCCGGTACTGGAACATGGGCACCCCGACCTCTGCTGTGACGCCACCGGAAGAGAACTGATTCAGAGTCTCAGACTCCGCCCATCCTGCGACCATAGACGAGCAATGCCGGGACATGGATAACGTCTCAATGGTAAGTGTTACTGGTTATCGGGCTTCTTTGGGCCTTATGTTTGCGTCTTTTGTTCCTAACAAGTTTTTTTTTTCAGTTCTCATCGTTAAACTCGAGTTACCCAACAGCATTGCAAACTCATGATTCGCACCACCGACGTTCCCTGATGAAGGCTCAGACTATCCGCCGCGGTAACTTACGTGGGAACTGGTTGATAAAATGTGAGAGCACACGTGGCTCACAACAATTCATGCCGAATGGTGCTTTATGGCCGGTCTTTGAAGCTGCACTGCGGTTCATCGAACTCGATCTTCTCGCCGGTCACATGACGGTAGAGGAAATCACGTGACTGTGCAGACCACATAAGACACCCCCCGCGGCGGTGCTGTGGTGTGGGACAATGCCGAGAGATCGCTGCCGCGGCGGGAGAGAGCGGCGCGCCTGATACGCGTGACGGTCCGCGTCTGTCGCCTCCGTCTCCGACTGTCGCTGTCTCGGCAGTGGAAGCTGGACGTATGGGCCGGCTGTGAGGCTCAATCCCGGAAAGACCGAAGTCACAGTTTTAGGGACATCACTATAACTAAAAAAAATAAAAAGCGCCTACCATTTGGTGAATAAATGAGTGTGATGGTATTAAAGAGATCATCCCTTTAATACAATGACCATTGAGTATTGATGGGACCATTCCTTTAATACGAGATTTAAACACGAGACTGATAAAATCACTAATACTGATCAATATAGCAAAAGATACACCATTTTTCGTAAAAGCACGGCTCTGCCCCATGCAATTAGGTATGTTCATTGTTCACGCTGAGGTGGCTATTTTATTTGATGAGTGAGCTCAGAGCCAATAGCCATGGTTAATCGGCACATTACGTTCGCTGTGGTCTGCCGACCGCGGCCCGTATTGGTGCGGTTGTGCCCACAGTAGTGTTTTGCGCCCATTGCATCACTGCGGTCCCACGTGTTCACACCGCCTGTGAAAGGATGGGCCAAAACGGCCTGTGTGAGAGGCGCTTTTTGCCGACGTTCGGGAACTGTTCAGCCTCAAACCAACCACCGAAAATCCTGCTCGGGCCGCGCGCCAGCGAGCGTGGTTACCCCGGCGGGCCATCCATCGTGAGACCAAACTGCCGACAGCGGGACGGTGTCCTTTCACCGCGACGCTGCGTCGTACTGTGAATTGTGATAAACTTCATTTGAACATTCATACTCAATATTCACTAATGGGCTGCACAAAACATCTTTTTCACAATATGATCGATAGATCACCAGGTAATTATTTTTGTCTTCATGGGTCACATTTGATAAAAAATATCTTTGATGATTAATCTCATATCTTAGTTTCAAGGAGAGACAGCGTCGAAAGCCAATAAAAGTAATAAAACTATTCGGCTCAAAACATGTATTGATAATAGCTCAGCAAGACGCATTGCAGAAAGCACGCCTCCGAAAGAAACCGTAACTGCATAACTATGTTGTAAATTGTAAATGAACGTCAGCATACATCTTCGCCTTGCGATCAATGTTTGATACACGTGTCTCTGTAGTCAACACCATGATAAGCACTAATTATCGCATACGAACGCATTTCTTTTATCAGGATACCTACCAATATAAGATATACGACCATAAGGACACGACACATAAAAAGCAGACGGGCTGCAGCTAATGCAATCGAACCGGATATAAAGAGGAACCATCACGATGTATGGATAACAATTGATAGAACAATAAGTCACAACTTCAATATCACACAATCAACTAACACCAGTCATTGCATTCACCTTTCAAACAAATGCTCATGCGTTCATACATTCGTCCACAACTCCACACATATGTATACTCGAGCGGTAATTGACAAACATGTCCCGGTTAGTTGTCAATGGGAGCTGCAGATGCCGCTGAGAGCTACAGCTACTTTCCGCCGGGACCTGCAGGCTGCAGCCGTGAAGCAGCTGTCACTAAGAGCTGCAGCTACTTCCCGCCGGGAGTTGTCCCTGCTGCCGATGGAAGCTGCAGTTGCTGACCACCGGGGGCTATAACTGTCACTAGGAGCTGTAGCTTCTTCCAGCCAGGGCTTGCAACTCTCCCTCGAGCCGCAGCCGTCACCGTGACCCGCCGCAGCTGCCGGCAGGGGAGATGCAACTGTCGCTAAGAGCTGTGGTTACTTCTCTCTCTGGGGCCGCAGCCGTCACCGCGAGCCGCCGCAGCTGCCGGCAGGGGAGCTGGTGTTGCGCGACAGCGACCTCCAGCTGTCGGTGTAGTCGAGCTTCATCGGCCCCCGCCGCAGAGTGGTGCCGCTGCCACTGTCCAGAGGCACGTGGCAGTTACCGGCCAGCACGATCCCCGCCCGAGAGCTGGCGGCAAGGGATAGACAGGGACGGTTATACGACATAGTTATGAGTATGCGACTCACGGTACGCTCGAGAATCGAGATACGATGTGACATTGGCGGTAATACGACTCACGGTTATACAACTCACGGTACACTCACGTACTACTGACACCTTAATGACTCGCGGTTCACATTTATACAACTCACGAGTATAAAAGTACACGGCTATGCGACTTTCGGTATACGCACGTTACATCAGCAGTGTCCACTGCCCAGCCAACACTTTCTTTTTGTTTTGTACTGCGAATTAAAAATGTATATTTCTATTCTTCGCGATATAAAACTGCGTTATTTCGTTTTTTAGGCTGCGACAGAAGGCATACTCTGAAATCGGTCGTATCTGGACATTGACAATCGTTTTTGGACAAGCCGTTGTCGCCACCCACCTGTGCGCCTTTTCTCTGACGGGCGGCTCGCGCCGGAGCACCTGCTGGTCAGAGTCGTAATCCAGCAGCAGCTCCTGACTGGAGAACCGGGTGTGCCGCGCCGCCTTCTTCCCCGCCGGCTGACTCTTGGTCAGACGCGGCAGCAGCGTCCTGCGAGGGAAACGTTCATCGGACATCTTTCTATTGCATTTTTTTTCGTCCACGAGCTGGCTTACCGAGAGCATTGCTTTTTTGTTGCACTCTTGCTTCTCAACCTTTAGAACGATAGCAGGTGCTTTGGTGTAACTAAAAAGTCGATGAATATATGCACACTGAAGTCGTTTTTGCTAAGTCTGTGTCATGGGCAATAAGCTGAAGCAAATAATTCAATTTTAAATTTTCATGCGGTACAGCAGGTACCGCAGATTTAAGACCCGCCGCTGACTTACTGCGCTCGCTGTGCCGGCGCCGGTGCGGGCGCGGCCGTCCGCCTGCCGTGGATGCTGCTGACGCCGCTGCTGCTGGTGCTGCCGGCGGCGTCACTGGTGATCCCGCCGCTGCCACCCCCGCTGCCGCCCACCCCGGCTGCCGAGGCGGGTGACGGTGAGCGGAGCAGCACGGTCGGCCGGAGGCAGTTGTCGCACAGTTTGCTGGCGCGCCCGAGGCCCTGGCAGCAGCACGGGTCGCGCAGCAGCCGGTTGGCCCGGTACAGCGACAGGTACTGCGACTTGGGCACCATGACGTACTCGATGGCGCGGTGGTCCCACGGGTCGAGCTCGGCGGCGGCGGCGGCGCAGTGGCGCGCGCGGCAGCTGCAGGGCCGCAGCAGGCCCGCCGAGCAGGGCGCCGGACGGCGCCGGACACCCGGCCGGCCCTCACTCTCCGGCTCCGAGCCTGCCGACAGACGCGGACCGACGCGGCGGTGAGAACACGGACTGAGGAGGTGATTTATACGACCCGGCTCTGCATTCTGAGGGCTGCCAGAGCTGGCACGAAAAGTCGAGAGGCGCGTGTATGCATGAATTGTCTCCGCAAGTCCCTAACAGGAGGATGTGCGGAGATCGGACCTTTCGACGTCGGTTTGGCATGGGTCCACGCATTAACATTGTGCTAGTAATGTAGCAAGGTATTTGTTAGTGTCCACTTGAAGAGCTCTAGCTCTATTTATACATAAAAGGTATGCCGTCAGTATATGGGCCAATGCATTCGTTCGATCAACGAACGCCGAACAATACCTCTATCGCTTACATCCTGTTGTGCTGAAAAAACGTTTTTCGCAATGTCCAGTTAGCTTCAAGATATAAGTATAAATTCATCAGCGCTTGTTTTCCTCGTAAAATACAGTGTACCTAATTGATCCCAGTAAAAACCAGGCTGCTATAAAACGTTTAAATCCCATTGATGCGGTTAGGAGGGTCCTGCTCGGTAAAAACTGGCACTGTTTGTCACACGGCGACTTTAATCGCAACAGTACCACACAAAACCCGAGCTCGTCATATGACTGCCGGAACCGAGCAATCAGGTGACGTCTTGGAATGTCCCGCAATTAGCCACTGGAAGTGAGGTGCTATAAGTGCCACTGTCCGTGTGTCCAAAGTGTCCGGAACACTGCTGTTAGTGTGTCTAAACTGGCCGGGATTGGGAATCTGTTGTCGGGTGTGACTACTGTCCAAACCATCAAGTGTCCGGGACACTGCCGCAAAAGTATCCGATCTGCGATCGCACAGCACGTTTGATAATGCCGGCCTGCCGTGCTGAAGGGTCATTTACCGGTGGCTGGCGTCCCTCCTGTCTGCCGTGCGGGCGGGGCTGATCACCTGAGTCACTGACACCTGTCTGTCAGTCTAACCACCATCATACGGGCTGCGCACATGGCGGCGGGGCGGCCGGAACCGGAGCGAACCCGCCGACAGCGCCGCCGGTCCTGACGGCGACCGCAAACCCAGGTACGAATGACAGTCATATGGCGGTGACTTCCCAAAGACCTGTCCGTGCTTCTATCCTCAGGATACTGAAATCTTTCTCCTCCACGCCACAACCCTCTTCCGGGCTGGGCAGGCAACTTTATCTCATGCGGGCTGCTCCCTTGGAGCGGCACCGCTGCTCCCGAGGGAGCGCACCCCGTAGCCGGGTGCAGTGAGTGCCTTGGGGCTGGGTGGCCTGTCCTCTGGACGGGCTCAGCCCCGGCGACTCACTAGGGTGCCTGCCCAGACCAATGTCTCCCCCTATTTCCTATCATCCTTCCGGCTCTGCAATGGTCTTGTCGACCGAAAGGGCCTAACCCAACAAAACAAACAAACTTCCCACCACACCGATAGTCCAGGGAAGCGGGCGTGGTGGTCGTGGTGGGACTGAACGGGCGCCTGTCTGCCGGCGGAGCCCACTGCGCAGTGCGCGGCTCGCCTCCCCGGCTCGGCTTCCGTGCACGCCGACGGCTATAGCGGTCAGCGGTGGCCCCAGCCGTGACACGACCGTCACCTGACCTGGCAGCGTCACACACCGTCACAAGGTGCATCACGTGACGCGCCGCGCCGGTCACAGCCGGCAGGAAACAATACGGAGTCTCGGGGATTGTCTCGGCTCCCGAGATGCTGTCGGCGGCACGGGTCGGCGCACCGCCGGCCGAGCGGCCGAGCCGGCCGGGTGGCGTCACCTGACCCGCGACCCGCCACCCGAGCCGCGACCCGGCGCCCGACCCAGAACGTCACCGGACCGAGCTGATGGACAGCCGCGGACCGAGACCGTATGCGACAGTCGGCACGGCGAGCCGTAATATATTTAACGGCCGAGGTGCAGACAGCAGTTTTATCCAACCGCCATTGTTTTGGAGGTTTTCCTCGTAACCTACATGTGATTTCCACATTCAGACGTGGCGCTTTTGTCATCCGTTTTGGTTATAAGGCTCAAGGAACTAAATGTATCCATCATGAAACCGGTCTTGAAGAACAGTCAGGTGTAATGGGTCGTAAATATGGTGGCTAAAATCCGCACATCATGCTACCAAACAGCCAATTAGCCATCATGACTGCGCCTGAGACGCACTGGCTCTCGGTGCCTTGCTATGGCATATTGTGGAAACTGCCTGAGGCCACGGCACCAGTCGCCCTCAAGCGGTGCTGCGGGGTCTGAAGTTCAAGGGTATCATATCAAGGGCGTTGACTGAGGATTTCCTGTCTTATGGGTATTTTTATGTTCGAGTGTAATGTGTATGCTTTTTATTGGACTTCGGACTGTGTACGCTTCGTAGCTGGTGATCAGTAGGATATTGAGCTGAAGATAGGGAAGTCAGTCAAAGTAAAAAAAAAAGATAAAGGGAAGAAGACGAAGAGAATAAAAGTGGATATGTCTGGACTCATCATGGCTCCCCTCCCGGAAGTTCCATGCACTGCAGACGCCGTCCGCTAACCGTACCCATGCTCGCTGCAATCGATCAGAGCAACGTGCTCATATAGCGTTCCGCCGCTGAGTACCCACACAGCGTAACGAATAACCGATAGAAGTCTGCCTGCCCCGGTATCCCCAGTGGATGTGACGGCACTGACCAGTCGGCTATGTCCAACGGCATAACGGAATGCCCGCTGAGCCGAGAGTTGCACCAGCAGTGCTCGATAATGGAGTTCTTCACCCTATATATCAGCGGTCATCGGTTGGTGAAGCTTTTGGGTCACAACCACGGGATGGGGTGCTCATGTTTCGCAATCACAGATGCCTCCAGCCTCGCTTCATTACGCAGTGCTCTTCAGCGTAACGGAACTGTGACGTGACCCCATGAGGAGATTGATGTTCAATCTGCACCCTCCCGGTATAGGGTAACAAGTTTATATGCAGGGTGTATAAGCTAAAACTTGTTATTCTAAAACAGCTGTTGAGAAGAAGGCGATCTCCTGAGTTTAGCCGTCTACATTAAGAAGGTAATTAATTATCCATTGATTAATGTCACCTGACATTCAACATGCAATAGTCATTAGCCACCACGAACAAATCACCAGCAGGCGATTCCTCCAGCCCAAGGGTGGTCATTCACCAAGTTCAACATGTTTATGCACTGTCACCGTATTTTGTCGTGTGATTGATAGCCGCTGTTCAGTGTGTGTCGTTTCCGGTGTCCCGTCTTCCTGTCGTCTCCGTGAGCCAGTCACGCTCTCTCGGAGCCATGCCGGCGCACTTTGGTCGCGTCACCGGCCTGTCGGCACGCACGTGCGCGGCGCACGGCCCGCGCTGCCGCCATGGTGCCGAGAGGACGTTCACAGAGAGGTCAGCGGCCGGCCGTCTGCTCCGGTGACGAGCGGCGGCCTCAGTCGGCCCGTGAAATCCTGGTCACGGCGCGGGCTGCCGAGCGCACCCCGCCGCAGGCCGGCCGGAACCGACGCTGTTCCGCCCGTTTCCGCGCGCTGTTCCGCGCCGCTCGGCGGACGGTCGGGATGGCCTGTCGCCGCCACGGCTCGCCGGCTGACGGCTGAGAGGTGGAGGGGTGTGACAGAGTTGGCTGTGACGAGGTGCGTCCGTGATAACGGCTTGTGCCGCTGTAAACGGACGGCTGAACTGCAGAATGGCGCCGCCGTGCAGTGTGACGCATCACAATGGGATAAAACCTTAGACGGGCGCCGGTTATAGACCGGCTTTTCTCTGGAACCGGCGAATCGGGACAGCGTTCATGCTCGCCAGAGTGTAACATGTTTGTGTGAACGCTGTTCACGAGTTTTATTGGCAAGCCGGCGCCAGTTGGCAGGCTTTCGACGGGTCGTGCTGGCCTTAATAACCAGAGCGATGACAATTTGGAACGGTGACTGACAATATATTGACGTAAATGTGGTAACTGCACAAGCTAGCGAAATTAGGGCAGCATAAGTATTGACCGTGCATGAATAGTGAATGTTGTTTCCTAACCTACCAGCAATGGCAAAATAATTGCTTTAGTAGATGGCCGCTAAGTTCTATTGCGAAACTATTCAATGGAGGCATTATGAAACCAAAGCTTTCCCTGTGCAGTGAAACTCGGCTGAGATATTTAACCCCTTTATTGGTGGTGATCGTGTCGGGTCGCTGGATTTCAGCAGTAAACTGAACCATCACTGCGTATGGGGTCTGTTCAGTGTTCAGGCAGTCTGTGGTTTCCGACGGTCTTGCTGGACGGGAAAACGTCGTGCCGTGACGAAATGATGGCAACTCACGCGTTCCAGCCATCACAGGAGGCGTCATCGCTCCATCATAACAGGCGACATCGCTCCGTCATCAGAGGCGTCGCCGTGCCATCACCGCTCCGTCATCGGTCCGTCACGGGAGGCGTCGCCGCTGTAATTGCGCCGCCTCCCACCGGGCTAATAGACAAACAACTGTGATCGACCATCGGTGGAGTGTGCTTCGGTCTGAGGTCTCGATAGATGAGAGGAGCCTGGGCTCGGGAGAGATGCAGTGAAGCGTGAGGAGTCTGGCGGGAGGATCTGGGAGGTTCGAGGCGTGAGGAAGTGTGAGCACAACTGCAAGTAGCCCGAAGCGTGCTGAGGCCACTCATTGAAACTTGAAACTGCATCAATGTAGAACAACGGTGCATTGACAAATATATCGTCCTCGGACATACCCGCATGCAGCTGTTCGAAGACAGCGCCTCTGTGTCACCACTGATCACCAACTGCGAACCGTGACGGCTCGCCCCCGATCTCAGCTACACCAGCTGTCGTCCTGACCGACTTAGCCGCCTCAGTGCAGCTCACCACACACCGGAGAGGAGCGCGGGAGTCTGGTCATCCTTTGCTGGTTTTACGGCGCAACTGCAGGGCAGCTGACGCTGCACTTACCAGCACAGATGCGGGAGATTTCGTCAGTGATGCCACGCGACATTAAAGGGGGTATAACTGGTATACAGACGTCGGACCGTCCCAAATGCTTGCTAATCGACCAGTAGAATTCGTGTCGAAATTGTGAGTCTTCAGTACGTCGGAGCATCCAGCCCAAGGTCGCCGAAGTGAACGCAACTGGTTAAAAACCACATAAAATGTGCGACATCATTTGGCTGTCAGATTAATCATTTTTAAGCACATATGATGAGCGCTTCAGTTGCATCCAGTGATAGTTTACTGCAAATACGTTCGAGGTTGCAGTTGCAGCGCTCGGTTTTTGTGCATAATAAAATCGGCCTTGGGCACGAAACGGATAATCTTTAATCCGGTAGCATTCAGGCCGGCCTTCTTCAAATGTCAGTGCATTCACACGCTGTGCAGTTTCAAAAATCCTTCCATGAAGTATACCTTCAGTGGACTGAGTCCAAAGGAGTCCAGCCGAGTCCAGCAGTCAGCCATCAGCCGTGGGAATCGCGTGACCCACACACGTGTCGACGTGACATATCGGTCACCGGTGACCCATTGTCATGGAGACACGTGAGACCCACGTGCGACACGTGGAATCATCGTGGGCCCTTGCGGGGCTTTTGTGAGATTCGATCATCCGTATATATCCGCACGGACTTTGTTGTGAAGTCATACGGACATGCGTGTGTGTGTGTGTGTGTGTGTGTGTGTGTGTGTGTGTGTGTGTGTCCACGTTGGGCCCTCAGGGACCCGTGGGACCCGTGTGACGGTCCGGGGCGGCGGTGGCCGGCGGTGACGGCCCGCCCGCGCCACTAATGGCTCACTAACGGGCCACCACCACCAGGACAGCAGCGGCGGGCGGCAGTGGTGGCCAGGGCGCTCAGCGCCGTTTGGAGCGGCCATTAGCGGCGGCGGTGACGCCGGAAACTACAACTGGCGGCCGGACGGTAACACCAGGAACGGTAGTCGGACGGAGACTGCGATATGAACTGGAACGGAGCCGTGGCCGATCTCGCATGCCCACATACTCTTCATACATCGAGCTCCAGTGTTACATAGAGCTTACTATGAAGGATTGCAGGATTGCCTTTACCATGCATCAGTTTTTTAACTATATGCATGCAGTTGGATTATTTACCATCCATAACCGCAGTCTGTGGAATACGCCTTTTCCCACAACTTACGGTATATAATCAACCATGTTCCATCGCAGCTTTACCGCAATAGTGACAGGGCACACATATATGCAGCACATGAAATAGGGGCCGCGTCACGAATTACATGTCATCTAGCCAGCCCTCGCCAGTTTAAGCATTCTTCCTCCGGTACAGCAACGCCTAAATATGGAGTTGTTCTCAGAAGTAACGGAATAACATGAAAGCCTGAACGATGCTTGTTATCGTTCGTTTTTTGCGATCGAGTTTTCGTTTTCTCTCGTTTTCCCGAGCTCTGTGCAAACCGAATGAACACTAAGCAGACCATGGCTCCCCCCGGTATCATAACAAAGAGTTCGTCACGCTGATCGGAACAATGCTTCGATATATCGTAGCACTGTTCCGATAGAAGTGCGCCGGCTCCGGTCGCTCCTACAGCTGTCTGTCCTTCACGGGGTGCGCTCGTGAATGCTGACGGACAATGGACCAGTGTCGAACGGCGGTAACAGGCGCCCGGACAGTGCACCTATCTGATCCGGACTCCAAATAGAGCGGGAATTCAATGTCATTCAGATGATTGACAAGGTTCACGGCCCTGTCATTTCAAGATGCAGCGGTGATATAAGCTCAGGCAGCCCGGCACGCTAAGTAGCTGGTTGGCTTATGAGCTAAAATTTCCAGTCAGTGGTGACTGGTCAGTATGTCGGCTGAGTTCCAGGTCGGCATGAGAGATAACTTTCCCATCACACCGGAGTGACAGCCGGAGCGACACCGATCGCCGTATTACGGCGGCTCTCTCTAGTAAACACATGTCGGTGCCACATGGCTGTCAGGTGGGACCGGCCGGACCGGCTGCGCTCCGCGCCCAAAACAGGGTCACTGTGCCATCCGGCCGGCCGGCCGAGCCGCCCTGCAGTTGACGAGCCGGCGATTAGTGGCCGTTTAGTGCCGCCGCGGCCGGCAGCCGGCGCCGGATGGCGAGAGAGCTCCAACCGACCGGCGGCCTGTGATCTGGCTGACCCGCGGAGGTCACCGGCGGGTCACCAGAGGTCACCGGGACGGTCATCAGTGCCCGGCCCGGTCACCCGAAACCGCACATTACCGGCGCCCCGCCCACGGCAGGGCCACGTGCAGCGCGACAGTAAACCAAACTGGGTGATGACGGACGCCGTATAAATCACACTGCAGGCATATGGCGGAATATGGCCAATGGTGGCTAAAAACTAAACGGACTGCATTCTGCATATGTATAGGCTCTCTAACTAATCGGAATAGATGAGTATGTGAATGAAAACATGCTTTATGCACATATGTATAGCGTGCTACTGAAGTGGTACGAAAGTCACATACCCATTATCATTTATAGTGACGAGGAGGTTTGTCTGAGCGTAATGAGAGAGCGGCTCTGTTGGGCCGTGAAAACGCCATAAAATTACGCCATGTGGTGTACTGATTAATCCCTGTCCCAGAACTGTAATTACTTAAGCCACTTTTCTCTTCACGCACCATTGTCTGGGCGGCTCAATGCATTTCCAAATGGCTGAAGCAGATATACCTAGAAGTGAAAGCTTGTTAAAGGTAGTGTGCCACCTTTGAAAGATTTCCCATTTTATTTTTCCTAGGATAAGAAGCTTCTGTTTTTACCTAATATCGCAAAAAAAATCAAAAATGGGCCTGGAATAGTGCCTTTTTCGCCTAAAAGTTTTTCGGTTTTTAGATATGTATAACAACCAGGGTTGTATACGACTCAATCAATAGCAATCAATTCAATCACGACAAATTTGGGAAACCAATCAAATCAATCAAGTCAGAGCAGTTTTCGGGAATCGATTCAATCGACTCAAACGCGACAATAAAAGGAATCAATCAACTCAATCAAACGACTCAAACCAAGACATACATTAGGTTTTTTGCCCCACCAACTTGGAAAAGTGTCCATAGCAGTCTGATGTACCTACCTACCTACCTACCTACCTACCTACAGAAGAAACATAAAAATATTGTCATTTAAAATTATAAATTGCCATGCCATTCAAAGTTTCTATGTAATTAGGAAGGATACCTAGTGATGGACAGGTGGATCATGATATTGAGGTTCAATGGGTAGAATTGGAGCAGAAGTTTCATTTAATGGGTGCAAAATAACCCAGTAGTCGACTCGCCCCTTAACCCAAATCACCACCTTTCACCTAAAAGTTGTCAATTTAATTTTGGCCATATTCCAACTCCATTTACACTAAATATCAGATATTGCAGTTGAAAGTTGGCTGCTCAGATTTTGGCAGTGTTCGTGATTTGGCCATTTAACCTACACCATGTGTATTTTAATGGATAATATGCATAAATAACATATTAACCATAGGGAAATAGAAATAAATATCTTACCTGCAGGCTGCATGTGACGGTTTCGGTTAGACAGAGACTGACGGGCAGCCTGAAAAATCTTTCCACACAATGTGCATTTGAGACGTGGGATGTTGTCAGATTAAGAAAGAAGATATTTGAAGTATTTAGCGGTCCACGACTCTGAACGTGGCATGTCAATGCTAGGTACCTATGTGAAGAATTCAAAAAAAAAAAATTATTGCAATACAAATTTTGAAACTGTTAGGACTGGGGGATAGGGATGAGGATTAAAAATATATTTAAAAGGAAATGGAGAGGACAGGGACTCTGGAACCACAGGATAAGTTAAGGACAAAGGAAGCAGGAACGAGGAAAATTAAAACGCGAAAACGGCACGGTGCGAGAAAACGTTTTGCCAATAAGTATGCTAGCCTTTTATAAATCCTTATTCTACGTCTTTTGATTTTTTGGTAAGATGACGTCATTGATTATCATGTAGTATGGTAGATCATCATAAAATAAATCGGTTGTACAACACCAATTTCGTTTCAATTATTATTTCATTTGAAATAAAACCACTTAATAATATTCGGTAAAATATTTTAAGGAAAATGAAATATATCAAATATGTTATGCTTAGGCTCTCAGGAGAAAAGGATCAACAAACGTTCTGCTGCAAATTAAACAATGCAGCAAATTAGCTATTAATTAGGTACAGAAACGTAATTAGCGAGACGAAAACGGCGCTTTTGTTTCAGTTATTTTTGTAGGGGTTTCAGGGTTTCAGATATTTATAGAGTTCAGTGGGTTGTTTCTGAGGAGATGTGGAGATGTGAATTATTAATTAATCACACTTTATTAGTATATAGGGCCTTGCACTTTATCATCTGGATTTTAAAAAAAAGTTTCCTGCTGAGTGCAGAAAGGTAGGTAGGTGCATCGAAAAGTTCTATCACCAGGATTGGAGCAGTTATTGCAGTTGAAAGTCAAAGTTGGCTGTTCATGTTTAGGCCCTGTTCTTTATTTGGCCATGTACCCCATTTTGCAGTTGTGATGACAAGCAGTTTTCAGTGTAGTTTTGTGATCTTTGATGTCATCAATTGGTGTCATTATTTTTCGTCAACTAAAACATTTGAACTTTCCATTCAATCGACTCAATCATACGAGTCACTCTAATTTTTGGGAATCAAATCAGTCAACCAGTCGCTAAAGTCAAACGAGTCAGTCAACCAGTCATCTCGAAAAGTCAATCGACTCAATCCAATCAACTCAAAATATGCGTTGAAACAAATCAATCAATTCAATCGACTTGATTGGTATACAACCCTGATAACAACTGTAGTGGGCTCACCTGCAAACAGGCGTCGGGCAACAATCGCGAATGCGGCGCACTTGTGACAATAAGCAAAGGTCATTATAGTGTTACGACCATACGATGTACGGGAATGAGTTATCAGCTGTCTAATCGTAGACAACACAATGTCGAGCCTTAAACTGTAAGCCCGTATTGGTATTGTTTCTTTTATTTGGCTGTCGAACATTATTTATGGTTTGAAATATGATTTTATGTAAAATAATTGATATGAAAAAGCCGTCTTATAAGTTATGACCCCATTTCACCACACGCAAGTGGCAGAAATGACAATGATCAGCTGACGCATTTTTCTTGGCCGAAGTCAGAGCGCGCGGCCCGACGCACCACGCGTATTTGGAAATTCCGACCTCGACGAGCATCAGAAGCCACCTAACAGGCGTGTTCGAAACCGCAGGAGATGATGATGAACGGGTTTATCGAAACTTGATTGGATGAGCATATCGGTAATAGCGATTTCAGTGTGTGCATTTATTGTTCATAGTGGTGTGAAATGTGGTTGGGGTACGACCGACAACCCGTCGGGGCGAATTTCGCACTGGGGCCTACTCAAAATTTGAAGAATTTAAGACGTTTCCATGAGTTTTGAAGGTATGGATAAGTTCTAAAAATCCGGTTCTCCTTATCTGGGCCATTAACTCCATACGGTCCAAGAAAGCTGGCACACTACCTTTAACTCACTTTTGTAAACGTTAACCACTTAGCGCATTGTGATAACTTCCTCCTTTCTTATTGTTGATGTAATTTATGCATTCAGTTTACTGCAATGCGGAAGAAAGCTTCCATGCAGCTCGGCACCAAAGTCGATATATGTTACTAAGATTGGGTGGCTCTCTAAAACACCGATGTTTGTTCGTCGGGAGGGAAGATGACCCCACCGGTGTCCCTGCGGTCCCAGTTATGACGGCACACCGCCCTCACCTGAGGCGCAGTTCCAGGCGGGGGCGGCCCGCCGCCGCGGCGGCATGTCGATGTAGATGTGCGAGGACGGCACCGGCGACCTCCCGGCGCCCTGGCTGTTGTCCTCAGAGGACTCGTCCGAGCTGCTCGGCTCCTGTCCTGTCGGAGAACCTCCGCCCGCCGGTACCGCCGGAGGACCGTCGGCGACACCTCCGAACGCGGTCCGCAGCGGCGCCCTGCCCTGCCGCCGGCCGGTGACCCGCGGCGGCGGAGGCGCGCGCACCGGCGTCCCCTCCGCGCCGGCCACCTCCTCGGAGCCCTCCTCGGCGCTCTCCGGGATGTCGGCGATCCGCGCCGAACGGTGCAGCGTCTCCAGGTAGGAGCCCATCCTCGTCACACCCTTACCGCAGAGCCGTTTGAGGCTGGACGACTTTGAGGCGCGCTCCAGGGTCTGGGCGGGTCGGACGCTGGCCGGCGGCAGGCTGGCGTAGCCGGCGCCGCGCGGGTCGCTCACCGACAGCGTCTCGATCTCCAGCAGACTGTGCGACTGGGAGTGGTCCCAGTAGTCGGACGGAGGCGCGAACGACGAGGACCAGAAGTGGGATGGCTTGATGTGCTGTCCCGCCGCCGCTGGGCCCGCGGCCGAGGCGGCCACCGGCGGCTGGCGCTCCACTCCTGTCGGCATGGTGCGTCTCCTGCCTCCGACACCGGTCACAGCGCGCGCCGCCACAGCTCCGGCAGCTCGCGGCTCGCGCGGCCGCTCGGTCGGCGGCGGGCTGCACGACTGCCGCGGCGCCGGCCGGCCGACCGGCGCAGCGCGCGCGGCCGTTCCGCTCAGCGCTGGTGGCAGCGCCGCCGGTCGGCACCACACTCCAGTTTCTCAGTGGGCCGTTAAGGCCGACTCCGGGCGTGGTGCCGCGCCGGAGCCGCCGCGAACAGCACGAGCATTACTCGCTCGCCGCCGTCACGGAGTCACGAGTCTTACCAATTTGCCACTGTCACGGAGTCACGAATGCTACCGGGGCTCGTGAGTCCTCGCATGTAATAGTCACATTGCAGTTGCATTGCAGTCGCGCACTAGTTATATTGCATGGTAGAGCTACCGTGTCGACATCCCATGACATAGGTGCAATATCCCTGCCCTAGTTGTGCTGTAGTTGGGGTTAAATTCAAAACAGGAATCATAGAGACGGACACGCTGGTTAACGTTATTGATGCTAGGATGGACGAGCTGAGAGCAAAAACAACTCTCAGAGAGTAGTTTTTAAAACTAACAATGACCATCCTCCCATTCATTCAACTGACATGTAAACCATTTAAGTAACCCTTTTACACGGAAGCACATGATTACGTCCCGGCTGAATGGATGTTCGATGCTCTCCTATCTCGCCTGTCGCCGTCCTCACGACACTAACACCAGTGATAGATGGGTCCAGACTGCAGACTGCGGACACGCCACCGGCAATCAGGCGTCATCAGGGCGATCTCACGTGCGGTGCCGGTCGCCCGGCGCCCCCGCTCACCCGTCGCCATCAGCACGGCATCAATGGGGAAGCGGGGGAGGGGAGAGTCATCAGATTGACCCAGACGCCACTTTGGTCCGTCTCGGGAGACATCAGATCAGTCGGCGACGGTCAGCCGCAGATTGACTCCGGTTTGATCGTCAGACGCCCGTAAATACAAGCGCTCTTCGAATTGTGAGTGCTCTTCGTCCTATACGTGTACGTTTTCCTCTCCGTCTTCGGTTTCGTTCAGTCCGTTTCTTTTCAATTTTCTTCTACATCAATCACCTTTCTCTCTCTCTCTCTCTCTCTCTCTCTCTCTCTCTCTCTCTCTCTCTCTCTCTCTCTCTCTCTCTCTCTCTCTCTCTCTCTCTCTCTCTCTCTCTCTCTCTCTCTCTCTCTCTCTCTCTCTCTCTCTCTCTCTCTCCTCTCTCTCTCTCTCTCTCTCTCTCTCTCTCTCTCTCTCTATCTCTCTCGCTCTCTCTCTCTCTCTCTCTCTCTCTCTCTCTCTCTCTCTTTCTCTTCTTTCTCTTTCTCGTTCTCTGTCGTGTATCTCTCCTCTTCTCCGTTCAGCCTCCAACGTCTTCGTCCACATTTTCTGATGTCATGAATTATCTAGTTTTAAGTTTACCCCGCTGCTGATCTGATCCAGCTTTTCGAGCACACCTGGACCGTGCCAGCAGCCACGAGTCCTCGCAGATCCTGGGCGGATCCCAGACAGGTCCCCTCCCTCCTCCCCGCCCTCTCCCGTCGTCCCCTCGCCAAACTTGTCAGCCACTCCGCGGGGGGCCGGCCGATGGGTAATCGTATCAACACCCCCGTCAATGGCTCAGGGACGCGTCGCGCCGGGCTCCGGTGGCGCGTGCTGCCCCTGACGCCCGGACCGGGCCGGACCCGTGCCGTATCCCCCGGGCCGGGCCGGGCCCGTGCCGTGTCCCCCGGCTGCCGGCGACGATTACGAGCGGTGGGGGCCACTCTCGGCCAGAGGGGGACGGCCCGGCTGGGCGCGAGCCGGACGGTTATCGCAGCAGGGATAAGCCACCAGCCGTGCCCACGGCGACAGCTCCTGACTAATTGATGGGCGTACTCAGAACAGAACGGAAGGCGCGCTGGGAACTGGCCAAAACCAGATGGCTGAGGATGAGCATAAGACAAATTTGAGCCTAATGGGTCGAGGATTTATTGGTGGGAAGGACCAATTTTGATGACAAGTTAAAGCACTATAATTTAAGTGCTGAAGAAAAGTGATAAAATGAACGACGATTGAAGAAATGAACACAAATTATAATCACCATGGGAAACCAAAAAGGACGTTACTCCACTACTTATACAATTATTATTATATGCACGAAATTGTACGTATATTAGTTCGTGCAAGAAACGTAATATATCAGTGCTTCCTCTACACGTCAAACAATAGACTCTATCAGCCACATTTCAAAGCGATCATTGCGAAACTCTGCGAATTTCATTGCAACCTTACCATAGCTGACGTGCTGCTGTGAAAGTATATGCATACACAAGCGTCTAATGGAGCAAATATCCAGATTGATAGCATTATTTTGTTCCATCACAATGGGTCCATGCACGAACACGAGCTGGGACGACACGAAAGCCTCCTGTCAGAAACAATGCCGTACATTCTCCTGCCGTCAA